ACTGGAAAAACCATAGCCTTGACCAGATGGACCTTTGTTGGCAAAGTAATGTCTCTGCTTTTTAATATGCTATCTAGGTTGGTCATAACTTTCCTTCCAAGGAATAAGCGTCTTTTAATTTCATGGCTGCAGTCACCATCCGCAGTGATTTTGGAGCCCAAAAAAATAAAGTCTGACACTGCTTCCACTGTTTCCCCTTCTATTTCCCATAGGTTATGGGGCCAGATGCTATGATCTTAGTTTTCTGAATGTTGAGCTCTAAGCCAATTTTTTCACTCTCTTCTTTCACTTTCATCAAGAGGCCTTTTAGTTCCTCTTCACTTTCTGCCATAAGGGTGGTGTCATCTGCATATTTGAGGTTATTGATATTTCTCCCGGCAATCTTGATTCCAGCTTGTGCTTCTTCCAGCCCAGCATTTCTCATGATGTACTCTGCATATAAGTTAAATAAGCAGGGTGACAATATACAGCCTTGACGTACTCCTTTTCCTATTTGGAACCAGTCTGTTGTTCCATGGCCAGTTCTAACTGTTGCTTCCTTACCTGCATATAGGTATCTCAAGAGGCAGGTTAGGTAGTCTGGTATTCCCATCTCCTTCAGAATTTTCCACAGTTTATTGGGATCCACACAGTCAAAGGCTTTGGCATAGTCAATAAAGCAGAAATAGATGTTTTTCTTGAACTCTCTTGCTTTTTTGATGATCCAGCAGATGTTGGCAATTTGATCTCTGATTCCTCTGCCTTTTCTAAAACCAGCTTGAACATCTGGAAGTTCACGGTTCATGTATTTCTGAAGCCTGGCTTGGAGAATTTTGAGCATTACTTTACTAGCGTGTGAGGTGAGTGTAATTGTACTGTAGTTTGAGCATTCTTTGGCATTGCCTTTCTTTGGGATTGGAATGAAAACTGACCTTTTCCAGTCCTGTGGCCCTGCTGGGTTTTCCTAATTTGCTGGCATATTGAGTGCAGCACCTTCACAGCATCATCTTTTAGGATTTGAAATAGCTCAACTGGAATTCCATCACCTCCACTAGCTTTGTTCGTAGTGATCCTTTCTAAGGCCCACGTGACTTCACATTCCAGGATGTCTGGCTCTAGGTGAGTGATCATACCATCATGATCATCTGGGTCATGAAGATCTTTTTTGTACAGTTCTTCTGTGTATTCTTGCCACCTCTTCTTAATATCTTCTGCTTCTGTTAGGTCCATACCATTTCTGTCCTTTATTGAAACCATCTTTGCATGAAATGTTCCCTTGGTATCTCTAATTTTCTTGAAGAGATCTCTAGTCTTTCCCATTCTGTTGTTTTCCTCTATTTCTTTGCATTGATAGCTGAGGAAGGCTTTCTTTTTTTTTCTTTTTTTTTCATTTATTTTTATTAGTTGGAGACTAATTACTTTACAATATTGAGGAAGGCTTTCTTATCTCTCCTTGCTATTTTTTGTAACTCTGCATTCCAATGGGAATATCTTTCCTTTTCTCGTTTGCTTTTGGCTTCTCTTCTTTTCACAGCTATTTGTAAGGCCTCCTCAGACAACCATTTTGTCTTTTTGCATTTCTTTTCCATGGGGATGGTCTTGCTCCCTGTCTCCTGTACAATGTCATGAACCTCCATCCATAGTTCATCAGGCACTCTATCTTTCAGATCTAGTCCCTTAAATCTATTTCTCACTTCCACTGTATAGTCATAAGGGATTTGATTTAGGTCATACCTGAATGGTCTAGTGGTTTTCCCTACTTTCTTCAATTTAAGTCTGAATTTGGCAATTTGGTTCATGATCTGAGCCACAGTCAGCTCCCGGTCATGTTTTTGCTTACTGTATGGAGCTCCTCCATCTTTGGCTGCAAAGAATATAATCAATCTGATTTCGGTGTTGGCCATCTGGTGATGTCCATGTGTAGAGTCTTCTCTTGTGTTGTTGGAAGAGGGTGTTTGCTATGACCATTGCGTTCTCTTGGCAAAACTCTATTAGTCTTTGCCCTGCTTCATTCTGTACTCCAAGGCCAAATTTGCCTGTTACTCCAGGTTTTTCTTGACTTCCTACTTTTGCACTCCAGTCCCCTATAATGAAAAGGACATCTTTTTTGGGTGTTATTTCTAAAAGGTTCTGTAGGTCTTCATAGAACTGTTCAACTTCAGCTTCTTCAGCATTACTGGTTGGGGCATAGGCTTGGATTACCGTGATATTGAATGGTTTTCCCTGGAAACGAACAGAGATCATTCTGTCATTTTTGAGATTGCATCCAAATACTGCATTTCGGACTCTTTTGTTGACCATGATGGCTACTCCATTTCTTCTATGTGATTCCTGCCCACAGTAGTACATATAATGGTCATCTGAATTAAATTCACCCATTCCAGTCCATGACATCTCTCTAGCTAAAATGTCAAAATTTCTCATGTTACTAATAAGGGCAATTTTGGAGTTTCTAGAATATAGAAACAATGGTTTTGAGTAGCACCAGTATATTGTTTATTCTCTAATAAGTATTGAGAAACAGCTGTGCGCTGGGAATGTTAAATATGGGTGCTGTCACTATGAGAAGAAACCTGGTTACTAGCCTCATAAATTCAAACCCAGTGGGAGAATCCAGGTAGTCAGTTATACAGTGCACTCAGTGCTAGGGAATGAAAAGTGCTGTGTGCCATGGAAGTATTTGTGAAGGGCCCCTTTCCAGGGGAGGTGAAAGAGAAGCTGAGACAATGCCTGAAAGATAAATGGAACTGAAAAAAGAAATGGAACAGGTGAGGAGTAGGTGAAAAGAAAGTGATTAAACAAAATTGTCTTGTACACAGAGCATCTATCAGGCCTGGCTAGATCCGAGAGTGTGAAGGGGGAGAGACACTAGAATAGTCAGGAGGAGTAAGTAGGGTTCACATCACAAAGGACCTTGTAGATGAGGCTGAGACTGTGAGACTTCACCCTAAATAGTTAAGTATCCTGTACTGAGACATGGAGAATTATTAGTACGAGAGTGACATATGATTTCTACTTTAGAAAGCTTATTTAGATTGCGGTTTAGAGAATGATGGGAGAGATGAGATTAAAGGTAAAGAGAGTTGTTCAGATGTGGCAAACAGAAGTCTAGCCAAGTGGTAATGGTGATCCAGATGAGGGTGGTGCCTGGCTGATGGAGAATACATAGAAGAAAAGACAGATAACACTTGAGCAAGAGAGGAAGAAGTCAAAGAGATGGCCAGAGTTTTTGTTAGGGTTTTAGAATGAGGAATGGCTTTGTAGAGAGGATGAGTTCCCGTTTGGCAACCCCATGGACTGTAGCCCGCCAGGCGGCTCTACGATTTTCTAGGTAAGAATACTGAAGTGGGTTGCCATTTCCTACTCCAAGAGATCTGTTCGATCCAGGGATCGAATCCTGGTTTCCTTCATTGCAGACAGATTCTTTGCCATCTGAGCCACCAGGGAAGTCTTTGTATATAATAAATTTTAGTTATCTGGGGGAGAAGTCCATTCAGCAATTCTGAATTCAGGCTGAGCTGACAGGAGAGGTTGGGAGAGAGATCCGTTATGGGAAAGAAGTATTTGTTCCTTCCTTGATGGTTGGATGGCATCACCAACTTGATGGACGTGAGTTTGAGCAAGCTCTGGGAGTTGGTGATGGACAGGGAATCCTGGCCTACTGCAGTCCATGGGGTTGCAAAGAGTCAGACATGACTGAGCAACTGAACTGAACTGAGATACTGATTATTTGCTAATTGTTCAAATAATGTTTGAGGATCTTAAGTTTTATGTTTCTTGTTGCCACACTGAGAAGAGAGGCAAGGTGGGCTTGTTACAACTTGTTGGGCATTTGTGTTTACTTTTAAAAGTCAGTGATCCTTGAATGAAAAGACTGTTTGGCCTTAATTCAAAAGTGTAGACTTCCTCTTGATGCTAAATATGACATTGCTGTTTATGATACAGAGTGCTGTAGAACTGTGCTGTTAGGCTATTTTCTAGTGTGTTTAGCATAAGGTGCATTTCTTCATAGAAAGATCCAAAATCATGGTTGGAGTGTGGGCTCTGGAGCCAGGTTACCTGGTTTTAAATTGTGGCCCTGCTGTTAACTAGTGATATGACTGTGGACGTAAACTTCTCAGTTTATTTAGTTGCCCATAAAATGGGAAAAATATTACCTACATTATGTATTACTAGAATTGAGCTAATAATGTAAAACATTTAAAATAGAACTGAATAAATGTTAGCTGTCGTTATTGTTATTATTCCTATTAGTAGTATTAATAGAAAAGGCTCAGTTTATGGAGGTAACAGAGGGCATCCATTAAGTGTGTGGTGTACCCTCCTGGGGTGACTTGATTAGGAAGTCCAAAGTGTTTCTGAATTTCTGGGGCTTCACTAAAGACTGAGTTGGAATGCTCTGCAGATGATGGTTATTTTGTCTTTGTTTCATTCTTTGTAATTATGAGAGTGGGTGTTTATATATTAAGAGGAAACTGGGGGTTGTTAGCCGCATGTTAGTAGGAAACTGGGGGAATGGGAAGAGTGTTGCATTATGTCTGTGTCTCCAGTGAGCTTTCTTCAGACAGACCTGTGGGTTTTAGTTCTCACTTGAAGAAACAGTGTTTCCTGGCAGGTTTTCTGCTCCATAAAAAAACAAAAACTTTAAACTCTAGATGTACTAAATTTATAATGAGGCAAGATTATTTTTTTTTTCCTTTTTCTTTTCTGTAAAGCTTTGCTTTTTAAATTTGTAATCAAAATAGCATGGAGCAGGGTGGATCAATAGGCCAAAGCTCTGATGTTGGGGTCTGAGCCAGTGGAAGGCATTGTGGAAACGTGAGCTGACAGTGCTAGATGTTCACTGCTCTGTAAGGCTGTCACTGAACACTTAGTCAGATACAGCTGTTTCTTTCCTAGAGTCCTGCTATGAAAAATAAATCCATTCGAGAGAAAAAGAGAGAGGTGTCACACTTTTGTGATTGATATTTTCACTGTTGGATTCTTTCCTGAAAACTAATATTTTATTTTGAATTTTATAGGAGTTTGAAAGTGATTATGCTGAGTTTAAGTCCAAAATTCTGGATTTTGACAGAAGGCTTGGGACAATTCTTTGTGAAGCTTTCTTCAACTGCAATGGTCTGGAAGCTGCATTTAAGGTTAGTTCTGAAGAAGTTATTAAAAAAAAAAAGTTTTACTAATGAATAATGTAAGACTATTAGATGAAAAGAGGGAATACATTCTTTTCTGATTCAGGTAAACTATTAACTAGTCACATTCTTTTCATATTCAGCTCACTGAATTATAAACTTTGAATAACACACTAATGAATAATGACATTTACCTTGGACAAGGTCAGTTTTAGAACATTTGACTATTGATCTTTGCTTGAATTCATTGTTCTTTCATTACCTTTAGAGCAAATTTGGGAAGACCTGTGAAATACTGGTTCAAAATTAAGCCACAGTGAAAAGTGAAAAATACGAGTTAATTCACGAATTTCTTTTCTTTACCATTGTTTATATAGGTTGGGTTCGCCTGCCCACTTTATTGATCTGACTGAAATAAATAACAGTTTATGCACTGTTTTTCACTAAGCATAAGACACCAATTACCAGACATGCCATTGTTTATCAACAAAGGGGAACACTGCCAAAAGATTAGGACGCTGTTGATTATATAACATAATCTAGTTTCAAAGGTGTTAAAACATGAAAGAATGTTTATCATAGAACTGATGAAATACAGTATAGTGTATGAATAGTCGAACTTGCTTGTCAAAGAAGAGAATCTTGAGTGTAAACTAAGATGATGTCCCCAAAGTGGAATGAGGCTCTGTGTTGGTAGAAACACAGCTAGAGAATCGTGGACACAATTCATTGAAGATTGCAGTGCAAAACAAAATAACAGACCCAGACTTTGTCAGAGATAATTGCTTGATTTTGATCTTAAAATTCAAATAAATTGGTCAGATGGTGGTTAAGCTCTTGTGTCTTCTAACACCGTCAACTATTTTAACACAGGGAAGTCACAAGGCCTAGAGTTCTCTCTTATGAGCCCTTGCATGAAACTGAGATGCTGCTGGCTGAAATATATAGCCTGTTGTTATAAAATAACACCACCCGTCATGCCGTCTCTCAGAAGTTACTGTGGTTTTTAATGCTGCCAGTCCTTTTCTTTGACTAGATATGCATACATATTTCTCTTTGTGAAAAATGACATATTCTGAACTCTGCAATCTTTCTGTAGCCTTTTCAAGAAGCAGCGAATCATAAATATTTTTACTTTAATAACAGATTTCAACAATGCCATTTTTAGTGGCTATGCACTAGTCTATCATATTCTCTGTTACTGGACTTCCTTTCAGACTTTTGGAAATCATGGCATTAAAGAATGTGGAGGAAAATCTCAATTACAGCGGCTCCTACCTTTTCTCTTTCTCACAACCATTCATATAGATTCTACTTAACATGCCAATTATTTTTCTAAACAGTTTTATCTCTTGATTGTCATGTATTGTTTCTTTGATTCTCAGCATATTTGTACCTTGTCTACTGAAAAATATAGCATAAGCTGCTGCCCTTATAAGCTCTTCAGGGGTGGGGCATCATCTTAGAGTTTTTGTTATATTTAGATCACCTTTTACAATCCCTTATATAAAGCAGGCACTTAATAACTGTGACATTAGGAGGGCTGATTGGTTGTCACAGTCCTGCATGACACGCACATGAAGATAAACTTCAGCAAGAGTCGTGGCAGAAGAAAAAAAATAACAGGGTTGTGTATTTAGGGAGAAAAGTATTTCTGCTACAGGCCTAGGTTGATGACCTCTGCCCAGTTACTGTCGCATCCTGGGGAATACCTGCAGACTTCTCTGAAGACCAGGACCCAGCAAAGCCATGAGCAGGGAGGGCCCTGGAAACCAACGGTATAAAACTGTGACTCAGCCCCTGCAGAGTTAGTGCTCAATAAAAATTAAAACAAAATGCTGATGGGAGGCTTTCTAAAATTTACAGTGTCTCTACATGGAGACTGAAGTATGTAAGGTAAGTGTTGAGAAAAGTCTTTAGATGAAATAACAGAACACTAGAAAATTGTAATGGAGAAGGAAATGGCAACCCACACCAGTGTTCTTGCCTGGAGAATCCCAGGGACGGGGGAGCCTGGTGGGCTGCCGTCTATGGGGTCGCACAGAGTCGGACACGACTGAAGCGACTTAGCAGCAGCAGAAAATTGTGAAGTGTATGTGGTTCATACGCAACAGATTAAAAAAATCTGAAAAAGAGACAAATTTAGGAAAAACATAAATATTGCATAATGAAACCGAGAAGTAGAAGAAAATCAAGGTAAACCCTACAGACTTCTAATGGAATATTTCAGAAAGAAGCACATATTGAGAATCAGTCTTGAATCTTTCAAGATTGATATGAAGGACAGAATCTGTTGTCTTCTTAAAAAAGCTCCTAGTTCCGATGTGACAAGGAAACCAGAAGTTCAAATGACCTTTATTCTCATCCTGGAAGATAATTTTTATTTATCTGTGATGTTGAAAAATTAAAGTAATGTGTACTGCTTTAGAAGTTAAGACTTTAACTACTACTTTCTGGCTTTACTACCTCCCCAAAGAATATTTTCTCTCTCTTTCCTATTTTACACTTGGAGTTAAGTTCCACTAAGCATGTCAGCTGGGCAAAATGAGATGTGGCTGGGAAGCTTCTAGTATTGTTTCAGTTGTGGTTGACATAATAAGGGTTTGAAAGAGAACGCTGTGAAATAGATGTGTTTCCTTACTGTAGGTAGAGTCCAATTCTTTATGAAATCTTTAAGGCTGTTTTTGCTTCAGAATGTTAACATAAAGTCCAAATGTAACAGAACAGTGGTTGTAAGAAGAAAAGTTAATACTTTGCATTTTTCTAGGCAGCAGCTAACCAAGTGGATTTTAAATATTTAGTAGTTTCTGCAGTACTTTTTATTGAAACATAGTTGATTTACAATGTGTTAGTTACAGGTGGTCAGCAAAGTGATTTAGTTTTACACATATATATACATATATTCTTTTTCAAATTCTTTTGTAGATTATTACAAGATACTGAGTATAGTTTCCTGTGCTAAACAACATGTCATTGATTATCTATTTTTTATATAATAGTAATGTCAATGTTAATCTCAAACTCCTAATTTATCCCTCCCCAAACCCTTTCCCGTTTGCTAACCCTGTTTTACTTTCTATGTATGTGAGTCTGTTTTTGTTTTGGAAGTAAGTTCATTGGTATCATTTTTTAGATTCCACATGTAAATGATATCACGTGATATTTTTCTCTGACTGATTTAGTATGATGATCACATGTTGCTGCAAATGGCATTATTTCATTATGTTTATGGCTGAGTAATATTCCATTATATGCATACCGCATCCTCTTTCTTCATCATCTGTCAGTGGACGTTTAGGTTGCTTCCATGTCTTGGCTGTTGTGAATACCGCTACAATGAATACTGGGCTGCATGTATTCTTTTGAGCCATGGTTTTCTCTGGATACATGCCTAGGAGTGGGATTACTGAATCATATGATAGCTGTATTTTTAGTTTTTTAAGGAATCTCCACACTGTTCTTCATAGCGGCTGCCCCACTTTCTTTCCCACCAACAGTTTTACCGTACTTATAATTGATATTACCAGAAAAAAGGCCAGCATGTGTTTATCTCAATTGTCTTGAAGATATGGTTAGATCTGTTGGTATAATTTTTTTTCTTTGTGTTGATATTTTTTTTTTTTTAGTGAGTAGTTTTTAGGACATCTTTACAAAATGTTTACAGTGATGCTGCTTTTTAACAACAACAATTTTGGGGCTATAGTCACTAGTGTACCCCTAAGAGGAATAGCAAAGCTCTGTCTTTTGCCATGTCACATCACTAACAAGGCACAGATCTTGCTATATAGTTTTTTGCCACCTTGATGACATTTAGTTATTTTGAGGAGATACTTCCTTTTATTTCGAAGGAAGTATCTATGGGACAGGCCTAGTAGCTAACATTTTCTGAAGCCCACATAGAGTGATTGAGTAACAAAAGAACAATTTTCAGTGGCGCCTGGGCTGATGGGAGGCCTCACAAGGTGGCAGAGGCTGCCCTGCGCCAGACGGCTCTGTGTTGGTGTCAGATGACAGCTCTGTGTCAGCTCTCACAACTCGGCCAAATTGTCCCCTGCCCACGCCTCAGTTTCCTTACATGGAGCTTGTAAGAACAGCCTTTTTAACTCCCTTAAAATACAGTGCCTGGGCACCTAGTCAGCGTTCTTTAAACACTGCTTTTATAAAAATATGTATTTTTACTGCATTATTTTTCTTGCAAAGAAAGCTGCCTCACACTGATGCACAGAAGAATCCCCACCTATGAGAAAATAAGACAGGAGGACAATAGGAAACCAAAGTTAGCCTCCCCAGACAGCTAAGCCTTGTGAAAACTCGTGGTTGGTCAAGATTAGTTTAACATCTGAGGTCTCCATGACCAATCAACAGGAATTGTGGGCTTACACTCAGCAGCTTGCTGGTTGTGTGATGGTGTTCTGGTTCACATGTCTGCTTTTTCTCTCCCCTTACTCATTGGCTTCCCCTGCTTGCTAGGACAGTTGATCCTTGAACAGTGCTGACCCCCTTCATAGTCCAAAGTCAGTGTTTACCTTTTGGTTCCCCTCAGACTTAACTAACAGCCGCCTCGTTTTGACCGGAAGCCTTGCCAATAATGAGTGGTCATTGGAGACACAGTTCGTGTGTTGTATGTATTACATAATATATTCTTACAAGAAAGTAAGCTAGAAAAAAGAAAGTGTTATTAAGAAAAATCATAAGGAAGAAAAAACACACTTACAGGACTGTATTCTAAAGATCCTGTGAGTCTGTCATTGAATCATCTGCCAATACCTACATCGGTAGTGTGTACCTGTATCAATATTGTCTTACATGATACAGAGCACATGTATTACCAACACTGGACATAAAAAAACTGAAAAGATAGTGTGAACAAGAAATTCATATTTCTTTACAGGTATAATGGTTCGTACATTGATAAAAAGAAGCAGTAATCATGAATTGAAGCAGTGAAAATGAATTCATGATTGCTGTTTTTTATCAGTGATTGAATGATTGCTTCTTTTTTTCAGCATGATTATTTTCTGGTAGCCTAGAACAATCGACAGGACTGTCCCACAATAGCCTAGCCTATGTACTGATAACTGAATCATTATAAAAATTTTAGGGCATAGAGTATTACAGTCATATTCATAATATGATATTGGTAACATTGTTACTTAAAACTGTGGTGATAGGCTGACAGGCAATTTCTTCAGTTATGAGAGAGGTATACTGTTTGGTAATGTAATTTTTTGAAAGCAAAGTTATAAAACAGAAGACTACACATTATTTTATATGAAATAGATTCTTATATCTCTGTAAGGATAGACTAGTATCTACATATATTTAATGCATTCATGACACGTCTTAAATTTTTGTTATTTTTTGGCAACATGGTTCATCTGAGTGAAAGTGAAGTCGCTCAGTCGTGTCCGACTCTTTATGACCCCATGGACTGTAGCCCACCAGGCTCCTCCCTCCATGGGATTCTCCAGGCAAGAAAACTGGAGTGGGCTGCCATTTCCTTCTCCAGGGGATCTTTCCGACCCAGGGATCGAACCCGGGTCTCCCGTACTGCAGGCAGACACTGTAACCTCTGAGCCACCAGGGAAGCCCTGAGAGTCTTTTCAAATTGTCTCAAATCTCCAAAAAACTTTTCCACTGTCCTTATTGATAAAATTTTGTGTAAAAGTAGATCCATGCAGTTGAAGGTCATTTTGTTCAAGGTTCAGTTGTAATTTGTCTTCACTCATAATTTTACTGGCATAGGTTCAACCTGCCATGCCCTAATTCCTTTTCTGGGAAAGAATCTGATTTTCTCAAAGCATAGGTTTCAGCTATGACTCTGACACTGAAGGAACTGTCAGCCTGTGGAGTGGGTGTCATTGGAACATGTCGCCACTGCTGCGCCAGCTGCTGTTTTGGGGGTGACTGGGTCCTGTGGCAAAACACGCATGGGCATAGATAGGACAGTCACTGTGACTGATGCTTCTGGTATGACTATTAATTTAAAATTTAATTTTACTGAAGGTATAGTTGATTTGCAGTGTGTCAATTTCTGCTGTATAGCAGACTGTTTCAGTTATCAGTTCAGTTCAGTCGCTCAGTCGTGTCCAACTCTTTGCGGCCCCATGAATCACAGCACGCCAGGCCTCCCTGTCTGTCACCAACTCCCGGAGTTGACTCAAACTCATGCCCATCGAGTTGGTGATGCCATCCAGCCATCTCATCCTCTGTCGTCCCCTTCTCCTCCTGCCCCCAATCCCTCCCAGCATCAGGGTCTTTTCCAATGAGTCAACTCTTCACATGAGGTGGCCAAAGTATTGTAGTTTCAGCTTCAGCATCAGTCCTTCCAATGAACACCCAGGACTGATCTCTTTCAGGATGGACTGGTTGGATCTCCTTGCAGTCCAAGGGACTCTCAAGAGTCTTCTCCAACACCACAGTTCAAAACCATCAATTTTTCGGTGCTCAGCTTTCTTCACAGTCCAACTCTCACATCCATACATGACCACTGGAAAAACCATAGCCTTGACTAGACAGACCTTTGTTGCCAAAGTAATGTCTCTGCTTTTTAATATGCTATCTAGGTTGGTCATAACTTTCCTTCCAAGGAGTTAAGCGTCTTTTAATTTCATGGCTGTAGTCACCATCCGCAGTGATTTTGGAGCCCAAAAAAATAAAGTCTGACACTGTTTCCACTGTCTTCCCATCTATTTCCCATGAGGTGATGGGACCAGATGCCATGATCTTAGTTTTCTGAATGTTGAGCTTTAACCCAACTTTTTCACTCTCCTCTTTCATTTTCATCAAGAGGCTTTTTAGTTCCTCTTCACTCTCTGCCATAGGGGTGGTGTCATCTGCATATCTGAGGTTATTGATATTTCTCCCAGCAATCTTGATGCCGGCTTGTGCTTCTTCCAGCCCAGCATTTCTCATGATGTACTCTGCATATAAGTTAAATAAGCAGGGTGACAATATTGTTATACATATATATATATACATATATGCACATTCTTTTTCACGTTCTTTTCCTTTCTCGTCTGTCATAGGGTAGCTATAGTTATTACTACTCTGTGGCCTGGAGGTCCTCAATATGGATTTTCTTATCTCAAAGGGAGTATGTGTAGGTTGTTCAGTCGCTAAGTCACGTCTGACTCTTTGCAACCCACTAGACTGCGGCACACCAGCCTCCCCTGTCCTATATTATCTCCCAGAGTTTGCACAAATTCATGTCCATTGAGTCGGGGATGCCATCTAACCATCTCATCCTCTTGTCCCCTTCTCCTACTGCCCTCAATCTTTCCCAGCATCAGTCTTTTCCAGTGAGTCAGTTCTTTGCATCAGGTGGCCAAAGTATTGGAGCCTCAGCATCAGTCTTTCCAATGAATATTCAGGACTGATTTCCTTTAGGATTGACTGGTTTGATCTCTTTGCAGTCCAGTGTGTAGGAGAGAAGAGCAAATTACCAGTATACAGTCTTGCTTCTGTTCTTAAATCTACAAAGCATCTTCTACATTTCCTGATGCCCGACAGGAAGTAGTAGTGTCAGCTGTGATCAGGGATTGCTAACAGGTTCCTTTCTGACTCTTCACTCTCTGGTGAGGAAGGGAAACTGCTTTACATTTAAAATTTGCTTTATTGGATGTGTAGAAATTTTAGTGAGATGCCAAGGTATGTTTTCGATTTGGAGACCTTGCAGGATACTTGCATAGATCTAAATGTTTGCTCTGTATCTAGTCACGGAGGAGGTTTAATGGGGGAGATAGTGAGCTGAGTATTTGTATTAACAACCTATGGTGGTTAATCTTGCTTTCACTTTGATTTTTTTTATAGCTTTTGACCATATTTGGGAATTTTCTTGAGAAACCAGTTGTCATGGAAATTTTCAGCCCACATTATAGCACACTTGTGCACATGTTCAGTGCAGAGTTGGATATGTGTAAGCAATTGTATAATGAACACATGAGACAGGTGAGTGGGGGGATAAAGTCTGGCACACACACAGCATCATATTGTGGGTCAGGGTATCAAGTAGAACCACACTGACTGAACCTAAAGGTGAGATACGGCACTAAAGTTGTTATGCTTTTATTTAACTGGTTCCTATGGATGTGAATAACCTGCCTTAGGACCATAACTCTTCCACCAACCAAGTTACTTAGCACGTGTGTTTTACATATTTGTTCTGTAAAAGTACCAAAATGAGCAGTTGTTCACAAGGTTGGAGTGTACTCTCATTAAATGTTCCCTTTCTTCCTCTTCACCACAATATCAATTTGCAGATTGAACAAGGAAATGTAGTTCTTAACAAGAATATGCCATTTGCTTCAGGAAATATCAAATGGGCTAAAGAGGTTCTTGACCGACTTCAGATGTTTTGGTCAAACTTTGCATCTCTCCATTATCTGTAAGTAGTTAGGCTTTCTAGGTAACACTATCCCTATGACACAGGCAATTTTTATATAGAGTGGTGAGCTGTTCATTTTAGTGCTTATTGCCTTATTTAACATTGGCTGGTCATTGGCTGGGCTCGTTGAGAGGGATTTATTCCCATGGTTTGGAATATGTTTAATAGGACTTAGAACTTCCTATATTTCTATGTTTTAGGTCTTTTTTTCCTTTTCACTTTGACATTTCATCCAAAATATGCTGATAATTTGTTATTGTTTTTCCTTTCTCCAATAACTAGCATTCCTTTTATTTTGCGGACATTTGTATCTTCCTCTTTTCTTTGTAGGGATTGATAATCTGTTGCTATTTGATTTAGTTAAATGTTTGGCATTCCATTTATTTTATAACTATCTTTTTTAAACAAAGACCAGGAAGAAGCATTGTTTGACCTTTATTGGTTTTCTTCCTGGTTTATAGTGTATTTTCTTACATTTTCTAGTGTGTATTATTGTAAAGTAATTAAGCTGAAACCTAATATATAGAAAAACATCTTCCTACAGATTCTTGGAAAGTCCTGATTATACCTTGGTTTATCAGAAGTATGTTGAGATGACAACTTTGCTGAACCAATTTGAAGATCATATCTATAATGAATGGAAAAGTAATGTGAATGAAATCTGTGAATTCAATTTGAATCAACCCTTGGTTAAATTCAGTGCCATAAGTGGTCTTCTCAGTGTCAACTTTGACCCAAAGGTAGGGTTTAATGTTTTTAAAATGTTTTACAAATGCCCTTTTTATTTTAAGTATATGCCTAATACCTCCAGTCATTTATAATTTTATTTTGGGAAAATGTCAGAGCTATGAGGACTGTAACTTAAAACAGCTTCTATATGTCTGCTTTAAAGATTTGTTTACCAAATTTTATGTTAATTATTTTCTTATTTTGTCTTGTACTTATTTATTTACCACTTCCACTTGACTGGATAATGAGTTACTTGAGAGTCAGGTCCATTGTATTTCATCTTTGTGTTTTGTGTGTCTAACATAGTATTTGGCACTTGATAACATTTAATAGATGTCAGTTTAATTGAACAGAATGAGTAGTCTTTGATCAGTTTTTTTCTGGCTTATGTTTTCTGGCCCTGTCTCACGGTAGTCCAACTTTATGCCTAGGAGGTGAGAAAATTGGTCTCACTGACTTTAATAGTCACAGTCTGTACCCAAGTTCTGATTCATTTTCTGAAATATTACAAAGAGTAGCATCACCTAATTTTTGTTATTAACCTCAAGACATGTATATAAATGTATAACCTGGACAACTGAGGATTTTCTCTACCTTCTGATTGCATAAAACCAATTTATAAAAAATGAATTTCTGAGATGTTTTGGAGATAATCCCTACAATTCTACCACAAGGGATTATAAACGCACAAAATATACTGTGCTAGTTAACCCATGGAGTGACAACCTGAGGAAGTCAGCTGGGTTACCTTCTAAAGCATGTTGCATGGTCTTTTCCTCAGAACCTTGAGGTAAGGCTACAGTCAGTTCTGCTATAACATGACATATGCATTCCTTAAAAATCACTTCACAATGAGAGATTGCACAATAAAAAGTACAGGACTGATGGGGAATGTGAGGGTTAGGGCACAGTACTCAAAAGCTTTGTCAGTGATAATAAAAAATAAATGTCAGACAGAACAACAAATACTGTATGTGATATCACTTACATTGGGAATCTAAAAAATATAACAAATGAGTGAATATAACAAAAGGAAACAGACTCATAGATACTGAAAACAAATTAGTGGTTACTACTGGGGAGAGGGAAGGGGTGGGACAACCCAGGGGCAGAGGGTTAAAAGATTCAAACTATTAGGTATAACATAATCTACAAGGATATATATTGTATAACATGGGGAATATCGCAAATGGTTTACAATAAGTATAAATAAAGTGTAACCTTTAAAAATTGTGAACATACTGCACACATGTAACTCATATAACATGTACAGCATCTATACTCTAATAAGAAAAAACAGAAACAAAACCAGGAGAAGGGGTAGCATACTTTTATGCATTTTAAATGGTTAAGTAATAGATTCTGCAATGAATTGACACTTTCTCTTGACAAAGACATGAAGTTTGTTGAGGAAGTACGTTACGACTTGTGTGTTACTGTGAAGTGGTGGAAGGAGGGTCATTTGAAACCAGACAAAAACTTCTGCCACTAGCAGTGGATGGATGTGTGTCATCACACACGTGTAAATGGAAGTGGATGTTTATGAGGTGTGCATGTGAAAATTTTGTCTTCCTAATAAAACTTTCAGTTTAGTCGGGTGCAGTTTTTAGCATTTACCTAGTATTTCTTGTGGATAAATCTGCAGATAAGCAAAGACAAAACTTGTGGCATGCTCAGATTCCTCTCTGGTATATCATGATGTCATGTTTTCAAAATAAGCATTATAATAGAACTGACGATGCTGGGAAAAGGTCGAGGTCCACTTATGGCCTTCCATTTCAGACCTCCAGGTGGATGTGGCTTGAATTCTTTCTCTGACAGTGAGCCACAACCAGGGAGTTCTCCCTGTATTATTACTTTTTTAAACTAATTTTGTATTGGGGTATAGCTAGCAAACAATGTTGTGATAGTTTCAGATGAACAGCGAAGGGACTTAGTTATACATACACATGTGTCCATCATCCTCCAAAACCGCCTCTCATCCAGGCTGGTACATAACCCTGAGCAGAGTTCTGTGTGCTATCCAGTAGGTTTATCTATTGTAAATACAGCAGTGGGTATGTGAACTTCCCAAACTCGCTAACTATTCTTTCCCCCTGGCAACCGTAAGTTCATTTTCTGAGTCTGGGTCTCTTTCTGTTTTGTAAGTAACTTATCTACCTTTATTAGTTATATACTTCTATGTCATATGGAATGTATTGCTTTGAAAAAGTATAAGAAACAAAAACCTCTCTGCCCTGACAGTTTGAAAATATGATAATCACTGATGAAACTATAAGCATTTTGATGTTAACTTGTGTTAAAATAGAATGGTATCCTTCAGTCAGTTCAGTTCAGTCACTCAGTCATGTCTGACTCTTTGTGACCCCGTGGACTACAGCGCACCAGGCCTCCCTGTCCATCACCAACTCCCAGAGCTTGCTCAAACTCATATCCATTGAGTCAGTGATTCCATCCAACCATCTCATCCTCTGTCGTCCCCTTCTCTTCCTGCCTTCAATCTTTCCCAGCATCAGGGTCTTTTCCAGTGAGTCAGTTCTTCACATCAGGTGGCCAGAGTATTGGAGCTTCAGCTTCAGCATCAGTCCTTCCAATGAACACCCAGGACTGATCTCCTTTAGGATGGACTGGTTGGATCTCCTTGCAGTCCAAGGGACTCTCAAGAGTCTCCTCTAACACCACAGTTCAAAAGCATCTGTTCTTCTGCACTCAGCTTTCTTATATTTCAAGTCTCACATCCATACATGACTACTGGAAAAACCGTAGCTTTGACTAGACAGATATCCTTAAAATATGTAATAATTCTTGCTTTTCTTTTAATAGCTAGTGGCTGTATTAAGAGAAGTGAAATACCTTTTGATGTTGAAGAAATCAGACATACCAGATTCAGCCTTCACCATCTTCAAAAAAAGAAACACTCTCTTAAAGGTCTGTGTTTTCAGATATTGGGGCAGATTTTGAAAAGAAATAGTCAGAATTTTAATTATTAACATGTAGACCTATGATACTTTCATGGTTCCAAGAGCAAGCAGCTGTAACATATGTGGTGCTTTTTGTTTTGGGGTTTTCTTTTGCTCAGTACATTGGAAATCTTGAACTTCTTGTACACGGATATAATAAGCTGAAACAGACTCTTCTGGAAGTTGAATACCCCCTGATTGAGGACGAGCTGAGGACTGTGGATGAGGAACTGCAGGCAGCTGCAACATCGCTGACATGGCAGGATGACTGCTGGGGGGATATCGAGGGGGTAAGGATGGCCACCTCAGAGCTGGAGCGCAGAGTGGAGCACGCGCAGAATAACGTCAGGGTGATCCAGCAGACCATGCGGGCTTGGGCGGAGTGCCCGCTCCTTCCCAGGAGAGAACACAGGCGGGAGGCCGCCTTGACTTGGGAGGACAAGAGTGAGTTATTTACGAAAAAGTACAAGCGAATCCGAGAAGATGGCTGCAAGATACACAACTTGGTCGAGGTACTTGCCTTTTTTTTTTTTGATTTCTATTTATTTATTTGGCTGCACCAGGTCTTAGTGGCAGCATGTAGGATGTTCCGTGTGGCATTGTGGGCGTCTCTTGAGTTGCGTTGTACAGGTCCCAGAGCATGCTGACTCAGTAGTTAGTGTTCAAGCTCAGTAGTTGCTGTACGGTACCTGGGATCTTAGTTCTCTGACCACGGATGGAGCCTGTGTCCCCTACATTGGAAAGCGAATTCTTAACCCCTGGACCAACTGGAAGTTACCAAGGCCCCCAACCATACTTGCTTTTAAGGCTTCAAAGTTTATAGCAGCTGCTTTCCTTAAGTTTTTTCTTTTGTTCAGTCACTTAGTCATCTCCGACTCTTTGCAACCCCAGTGGACTGCAGCACACCAGTCTTCCCTCTGTCCTTTACTGTCTCCCAGAGTTTGCTCAAAATCATGTGCATTGAGTCAGGGATGCTGTCGAACCATCTCATGCACTGTAGCCCCCTTCTCCTCCTGCCCTCAATCTTTCCCAGCTTCAGGTTCTTTTCCAATGAGTCAGCTGTTTGCATCAGGTGGCCAAAGTATTGGCGCTTCAGCATCAGTCCTTCCATTGAATATTCAGGGTTGATTTCCTTTAGGATACACTGATTTGATCTCGTAGCAGTCCAAGTGACTCTCAAGAGTCTTGTCCAGCACCACAGCTTGAAAGCATCACTTCTTTGGTGCTTAGCCTTCTTTATGTCCAGCTCTCACATCCATACATGACTACTGGAAAAACCAGAGCTTTTACTGTGTGGACTTTCTTGGCAAAGTGATGTCTCTGCATTTTAATACACTGTCTGGGTGTGTCTTAGCTTTCCTTCCAAGGAGCAAGTGTCTGTGAGTTTCATGGCTATAGTCACTGTCCGAAGTGAGTTTGGAGCCCAAGAAAATAAAATCTCTCACTTCTTCCATTTTTTCCCCTTCCCTTTGCCATGATATTAGTTTTTTGAATGTTGAGTTTTAATCCAGCTTTTTTACTCTCTTCTTTCACCTTCATCAGGACGTTCTTTAGTTCCTTTTCACTTTCTGCCATTAGAGTGGTACCATTGCATGTCTGAGGTTGTTAATATTTCTCCTGGCAATCTTGATTCCAGCTTGTGATTCATACAGCCTGGCATTTCACATGATGTACTCTGCATATAGTTAAATAAACAGGATGACGATATACAGCCTTGTAGTTCTCCTTTTCCATTTTGAACCAGTCTGTTGTTCTATGTCTGGTTCTAACTGTTGCAGCTTGACCTGCTCACAGATTTTTCAGGAGATAGGTAAGGTGGTCTGGTATTCCCATCTCTTGAAGAATTGTCCACAATTTGTTGTGATCCACACAGCCAAAGCCTGTAGCATAGTCAGTGATGCAGAAGTAGTTGTTTTTCTGAAACTCCCTTGCTTTCTCCATGATCTTAACAAATGTTGGCAATTTGATCTCTGGTTTGTCTACCTTTTCAAAACCCAGCTTGTACATCTTACACATTCACATACTACTGAAGCCTAGCTTGAAGGATTTTGAACATAACCTTGCTAGCGTGTGAAAATGACCACAATTGTTTGAATATTATTTGGCACTGCCCTTCTATGGTATTGGAATGAAAACTGACCTTTTCCAGTCCTGGGGCCACTGTTGAGTTTTCCAAATTTGCTGGCGTATTGAGTACAGCACTTTAACAGCATCATCCTTAGGGTTTGAAATAGTTCAGAAGGGCTCTTTTATTGGACCCGAAAGAGCTTTAACATATGGTTTTACTAAGCATTGAAAATGGAGGAATTTGTATTACTTGCCTGTAATTTCTTAGACCTTGCTGCTGCTGCTAAGTCGCTTCAGTCGTGTCTGACTCTGTGCAACCCCATAGACGGCAGCCCACCAAGCTCCCCCGTCCCTGGGATTCTCCAGGCAAGAACACTGGAGTGGGTTGCCATTTCCTTCTCCAATGCAGAAAAGTGAAAAGTGAAAGTGAAGTCGCTCAGTCGTGTCCGACTCTTAGCGACCCCATGGACTGCGGCCTACCAGGCTCCTCTGTCCATGGGATTTTCCAGGCAAGAGGACTGGAGTGGGGCGCCATTGCCTTCTCCTTCTTAGACGTTACTGTGCTCATTTCTGAGGGAAGATATAGGAATATGGGATCTTTTGATAAACAGAGAGGCTAGAAATGGGGTTGTTATCTTGGTCATAGTTGTCACCTATTTTGAATGCCGTCAGTAGCTACCACTGTTGGGTAAATGCTCTGTGTGACACCCATCTTGCTTACATCCTCTCACGTGACCCTCTCAGCCATCCCTGAGGATGACAGCAGTTACTCTCCTTATAACAAACACTTGAGTTTTAAAGCAGTGATAGGCACCACTCCAGAGTTATCAAGGTGAGAGAAGAAACAAAATAAAACAAGAGCAAGGAACAGAAGACAGAGAAAGCAAAGCAAAAGAAAAAAAAGTCTTGTCTCTTAAACCTTACATCCTTGTCAGGGAATATAGATAGAGAAAATAACAAATATATAATAGTACCTCAGTTGATCATAGGAGCAGTGGTGAAAAATAAGAGATGGTTAAGAGAGAGAATCAATGGCAGGCAGGGTGGACATTGTATTTGAGGTGGTTAGAAGGACCTCTTTACTAAGGTAGCATTTCTGCTGAGAACTGAAAAGGCATGAGCTATGTGGAAAACAAAAGAAGGATGTTCTAGTATCAAAGTACAAAAGCTACAGAAGGAGTATCAGTCGCATGACAAAGCGATGATAAACCCAGTCAGTGTATTAAAAAGCAAAGACATCACTTTGCCAACAAAGGTCTCATAGTCAAAGCTCTGGTTTTTCCAGTAGTTATATACCGATGTGAGAGCTGGACCATAAAAAAAGCTGAGCGCTGAAGAATTGATGTTTTTGAATTGTGGTGCTGGGGACAACTCTTGAGAGTCCCTTGGACAGCAAGGAGGTCAAACCAGTCAATCCTAAAGAAAATTAAGCCCAAATATTTATTGGAAGGACCGATATTGAAGCTGAAGTTCCAAAACGTTGGCTACTTGATGCAAAGAGCCGACTCATTGGAAAAGCCCTTGATGCTGGGAAGGATTGAAGGCAAAAAGAGAAGGGGGTGGCAGAGGATAGGATGGTTGGGTACCATCTCCGACTCAGTGGATGTGAGTTTGAAAACTCTGGGAGATAATGGAGGATGCAGGGGAAGCCTGCCATGCTGCAGTCCATGGGATCGCAGAGTCACACACGACCTACGGACTGAACAATAACGGGTTGCATATCTAAGGATCAGTTAGAGAGTCAGCCTGCCTGAAGCGTAATTCCCAAGGGGAATAATTGCACATAATTTAGTTTGAACGGGCCAAGGGCAAGTCCCTGGTGGCTCAGGAAAGAATCTGCTTTCAGTGCAGGAGGCACCATATCCATCCCTGGGTCAGGAAGATCCCCTGGAGAAGGGAGTGACAGCCCACTCCAGTATTCTTGCTGGGAAATTCCATGGATGGAGAAACTTGCGGACTACAGCCCTTGGGGTTGCGAAGAATCAAAACACAACTGAGTGCCCACTTTTAAGGGCAAATCACACAGGATCAGGCCATTTTGAGAACTTTGGGTCTTGCTCTAAGGGGAACTAGCAGCCGGAGACTCTGCTCATAGGCTTTCCCTGTTGAGTGAAACGGGAGGCAGGAGATGGTAGAGAGAGAGACCACGAGGGGATGAGTCTATAATCCAGGTGATGATGGCTTAGATCAGGGTGGCAGTGGTAAAGAGCAGTCATGTGCTGGATGTATTTTGAAGGCAGAGCCGAGAAGGTGTTCTGCGACAAGTCAGGGGACAGAGAAGTTGAAGGTGAAATTGAGGTTTTTGTTCTGGGCCACTGGGAAAATAGAGTTCCCTTTATGACATGAGGAGAGCTGTGGGAGAGCAAGATGTTGTAGAGAAGACAGGATTTGTCTTTGAGCATGTTAGGTAAAGATGCCCACCCAAGCGGAGATTTTTGCACAGACTGGCATTGGAATTCTGTGAAGACAGTATCTGAAGAGTAGCAAATGCATTCACTAAAAAATTACACGTGGTACATTTGATATGCTGTACTGTCACAAAATAGGGGGGTGGGGAGGAAAAAAAATGCATATGGGTTTCAAAGACTCTGTTCACTTCCAAGTTTGTCTGAAATATCTAAGTATTAGTTTTCCCTACTGGTAACATGTGTTAAGGTAGAAGCTTTGCTTTCTTTGCTGACTGCCTGTGTTAGCACCCTTGGGCTGCTAGTAACAAATAAATGTATAACAAAGTACCACAAATGGATGTCTTAGAACAACAGAATTGTATTCTCACACAGACTGGGGGCTAAAAGTGTGAAATCAAGGTGTGGATTGGGCTGTGCTCCCTCTGAAAGCTCTCCCTCAGGCCTGGGTAGCTGGGGCTTCCCGCGGGGCTCAATGGTACAGAATCTGCCTACCTATGTAGGAGACTCAGGTTTGATCCCTGAGTCGGGAAGATCCCCAGGAGAAAGAAATGGCAACCCACCCCAGTATTCTTGCCTGGGAAATCTCATGGACAGAGGAGTCTGGTGGGCTCTAGTCAATGGGGTCTCAAGAGAGTCAGACATGACTTAGCAACTAAACAAACAAGGCTTGAAGGAATCGAAGGGATGTTATGATATGTAAAGAAGAAAATTTTTTCAGCAGTATCTTAACTTACTCATGCCACTGACTATTCCTAGTTTGCCAAGATACTGTGAATTATGCTGTGACTTTTAGGACACACTTATGGGTGTCTATGCCTTAGAGTCTGTCTCATGAAGGACAGATGACGGGTTACGATCAGCTTCTTCTATTGTAGTTTCTTGATAATAAAAAAGTGGACTCCCTAAACAGTAATGTGGGGGTTTAGACCAGTAAGATTTATGAATCCTGATCAAGATACATTGAAATTGTTGCAAGTATATGACTAGAAATAGTTGCAAGCAAGGTTTTGCAGTGCTATTCTCACAGAATAAGGTTGGAGTTTTTCTACTAGCAAGTAGACTCTGCTTTTTGCCTGTAAGTAAAAAAACTAAGAAGCTTTGAAGTCACCAAGAACTGTGGAGAGCTTCCAACTTGAGGGAATGTGACTTTAAAATAGAAATGAAACAATTACTTGTTTCTGTAATCTGTGTTTTAAATGATTGCTATATATTTTAAATTTTTCTTAAAATATATTTTAAATATGTTGCTCTATATTTTAAATGATTGTGTTTTAAATGTGCTAATAGCACATCATTTTGAGCTTGGTCCTCAGACTTGCAGTGAGGAGTGTGGTTTGGGGAAAGACGTAGAAAGCCAGCAGAAGGTGGGTAAGCTCTGCCTTTTCCTGCCATGCCCTTTGTGGCTGTCGATTCTGAGTGCATGTCTGTAGTCAGCATCTAAGAAGATGGGAAGGGCAGAACCATGGAAGATTGGGTCTGGGAGGGACCCGAGTGATCATTCCGTCACCCAAAGCTCTCCTTTCTATTTCTTTTCCTCCCTGTGCTGTAAACTGTTGAAAATACAGCAGTTTCTTGTAAGTGGCACTGTAGTGATATACACTGAGTCTCTTGACATGAGAAAGTATGAACAGTGAGGAAATCACAGATGTATTGCTGTGACGTGTTGCAAAGAACCCTGCTTTGAGGAGTCAAGAGGACTGGCTTCTAGTTCTTGATCCTGTTAATGGGATGCTGGATGCATTTTAGGTCTTTGTTTTATACGTTCAAGATGCAGAGCCTGAACAAGGTAGTCTTTGAGGATTTTTTCACCCCTTTGACCTCTGGACGTCTCCTTTCTGGTGTCCGCAGGGGGGACAGGAGTGCTGTGCACAGCTGTCTGGGGTGTGTACTGCCCAGCTCCAGAGGTGTGGGTTGTATACAGCACACGGATGTGAATGCTTCCACCTGGATGGTGAAAAAGACAGCATCCCTTAAAACTGCAGTTCTTAAATTTGTTAGAAGGCAAAAAAAAAAAAACCTCTCAAAAACTCGCTAATTTTTGCCCTGCTTTATCAGGATTAAGAGTCACCTCTGTCGTTCCGATTCGTGCCTTCAGCACACACCTTTGGATCCTGGGTCATGTCTCCACAGTGGTGAATAATCAAAGAAAGCATAATCTACCTTATAATCAGCTGTTTTGCTGTCATCTTTTCTCTGTGTCTGTCTTGGTAGCTCAGATGGTAAAGAAATCTGCCTGCAGTGCAGGAGACTTGGGTTTGATCCCTGGGTCAGGAAGATCCCCTGGAGAAGGAAATGGCAACCCACTCCAGTACTCTTGCCTGGAAAATTCCATGGACAGGCCATAGTCCACAGGGGCACAAAGAATCGGACACGATCGAGCGACTAACGCACATTCTCTGTGTCACAGTAGCTTCTGTCTTCGGCATCTACTCTCTGGCCTGTATAGACTTCAACCTTTGCCACTCAGAAGGTGCCCCTGGAGCCAGCCTTGCTGCTCACCTGGCCTTTTCAGATCTCTCTCTCTCGGCCTGCCACACTGGGCCCAACCTCTAGCCATCCTTACTGTGTCCGTGTCTGAGCTGTTGTGCCCGTTGACCCACCCATGGGGAGAAGCAGAGGTTAAAGCACAAAGGCAGGTTGTACTTCCCCAGGTCAGTGTTTCCCAAGCTGAGCTAGTATTACTCCTCCAGCTGCTCATAGGTGGGTGACCCAAAATAATTTCGTGTTTGGAAACAATCAGTTAAACCAGGTTAATGGACTTTAACAAAAGTACAGTGCAAGTTCTCCAAGAATGGCCTAGAGCACGTCACTCTGCGCTGACTTAGTGATCTCTGGTTATCCCAGTACAGTGTTCTCTGGACGACTGGTTGGGTGAGGGAACTTCATTTACAGGAGAGGCCCTGGAAGGTCAAGTCCCAGGCCCCGTTCATCTAGGATGCTTTGGGAAATTGTGTAGTTCTTGTGTGTATTTGTAGGTAGCAGTCTTCATAATGATTTCTCCTTTAAAGAATGACTTTTGAATATATTTTATAAATAAAATAAATGTTACAAAATCCTGCTTAGGTCATTGCCATCTGGCTTAAGATTCTACAACCAAGAATTTGGAAGATTCTGTGTTGTACCCCCAAATGCAGCCCCTTTAATGTACTATTTAAATGAATGGCTTTCATTTTTATACTCACTGTTGTCTATACTGATCTGTTAATTCTTGTCTGTTGGTAGGAAAATAGGAAGCTATTCAGAGCCGATCCTTCTCTGGATGCCTGGAAGATTTATGTAGAATTCATTGATGACATCGTGGTGGAAGGCTTTTTTCAAGCGATAATGCATGACTTAGACTTCTTCCTGAAGAACACAGAGAAACAATTGAAACCTGCACCATTTTTTCAAGCACAAATGATCTTAATGCCCCCAGAGATTCTGTTTAAGCCTTCTTTAGAAAGAGAGGCTGGAGATGGCTTTTATGATCTGGTGGAAGAAATGCTGTGCAGTAGTTTCAGAATGTCTGCCCAGATGAAGCGAGTAGCAGCACATCTGGAAATAGAAAACTACCAGGTATGCTCTTTGTAAATAGGTATTACATTTATTGCTAATTATATATACATACTAATAGATTAAGAGCTTATAAATGCATTTATTAATAGTGATACTGAATACTGAATGCAGAAAATAGAATACAGAGAAATCAGGAAACTTAAAAGGAAACAAATTCTTTAAAAAGTTGATATATTTTTAAAAGTTTGACATATTTACTTATATTTTATCCAATTTTGCATGTATGTTTAGAGTTACAAACAAATGCAAAGCTAATTCCAAAGCTTTTATTCTGAATATACTTCAGTTTTGAGTTCAAGTGTTCTGTATTGTGATGTTTACACTTTTGTGCTATATTTATACCAAGTATGGTTAATTTTATTTGTAACCTAAAAGCGAGATGCTGTGAGCTGATCCTGAGGCAGCCAGGAAAATCAGGAATTTTAGAACAGCCTTTTAAAATGGGATAAAGACACAGGAAAGAAAGCATCTCATTCCTGATATATAAATGCAAAAGAGAAAATATTAAGAAATAATATTTCAGATGAAAAGGCAAAAAAAGATATAGAGGGTCGCAACTTCCCTGAATTCAAAACAAATGTGCTTATTCAACTACCAGACATTTGAATACTAATGCCCATACAAATACATGTATATTAATGACAATTATTATTAATTATAAAATTAGCTTTTATATTAATGATTGAAAATTAATTGGGATAATGAGCATAAAGAAAGAAGTTGGGAAAGGCAACACAATTTTTTATCTTACCAACCATTCTCCTTTTGAAGAATGGCCTTCGAGAATGTTAGGTTGCACATGATTGAGAAAACATGGTTGGCTTTTGTAAATGCTTGGCTCTCCTGTTGTTTAGAGTGATGTTGACAACATGCTGGGCCTGGCAGAAGGTAGGCAGGAGATCATGAGGAGAGTAGCAGACGTTATCAGCAAAGTCTTGGACTTCAGAAACACCCTGGACACGTATGCTTGCCTCTGGGTAGAAGACCGAGCCGAGTTCATGAAGCACTTCCTTCTGTATGGCCCTGCTGTGTCGGCCGAGGAGGTGGAAACTCACGTGAATGAAGAGGTCCCTGAACAATCACCAACACTTGAGCAGTTCAAAGAACAGGCGAGAAAAACCCTAAGCAGTCGATCTAGTTTCTGGGTTTTGACTGAGTTGTTACACAGTGATTTTTTTTTTTTCTTCTAATTATAGATTGACATTTATGAGGCTCTGTATGTTCAGATGAGCAAGTTTGACGACTTCAGGGTGTTTGATAGTTGGTTCAAGGTGGACATGAAGCCTTTTAAAGTGAGCTTGCTGAACATTATCAGGAAATGGAGCTGGATGTTTCAGGAGCATCTTTTGAGATTTGTCATCGACAGGTAGCCCTTTGTGTTTTGGTATTTGGCATTATAACTTTTCATACCTGACTGCTTCTTAAAGCTGATGTATTAATTTTAAGAGCATTAAAATTGCCAGTTTTATAATACAGTTAACAAGCATTTACTTAGGTAAATACTGAAAATAAGAATCAGTCAAAAGCCTTATACTTCTAAGTTTTAATGAGTTTAATTTGTGTTTGTATATGTGTATGTACATACATGTCTTTATAGCTTGAATGAGCTACAAGAATTTATAAAGGAGACAGATGCTGGACTTCAGAGAGAATTAAGTGAAGGTGATCATGATGGTTTAGTTGACATTATGGGGCATCTTCTGGCTGTAAGAAGCCGACAGAGAGCTACTGATGAACTCTTTGAACTGTTAAAAGAAACCATCACACTCTTGGAAATGTATGGCCAGAAGATGCCTGAGCAAGTCTATACTCAACTAAAGGTGAGTGTAGTGGTAAAATAGTCATGATTACCATAAACTGAGCACCTCCTGTACCCACTTTCATTCTTCACGCGTTACTCTGTTATGACTCCTTGTAGCAACGTATACTGTAGATACTAATGTTTTCATTTTACAGCTTAGGAATCTGAAGCTGAAAGGGACTTAATAATTTTCTCAGGGCCACTCAAGTAGTGAAGCCAAGACATACAAATCTAGGGGTATTTCATGCCCACATCCTTGCTTTGCATGGCTATGCTTCACCATCTTCGTGTTAGAGGTATTCAGATAATAGAGAGTCTCTCAAGTACATTTTTGGGGTTCCTCTTATATCTTCACTTTCCCATGTGAAATGAACTCCAGCTCTCTTTTTCATCTAAAATTGCCTGTCAGTTGAGAACTGTCCTAGTCTTTGGAAACAAATCATGGACATGTTAATAAAGAATAAATAAAGCCCAATTTTGATGCAGAAATCACTGTTTCCTAAACAGGGTTTCTGTGTCACCCTCCTCTTTCTACGTTCTGGATTGACTTGGTGGCTGCTGTATGCCAAATGATGTACAAAGTCTTTGTAGTTATAACTGAATGCATGAATAAAAATCTCACCATTGAGATGCTGTTCCCATGTTCATGTTGAAGCTCTATAGATAGTTTATATATTTACATCATCTACCAGCCTCCAGGATGGGTTTATGTATGACTTTGCAATGTGTTCATTTTCTGCATTAAGTAAAAAAAAAAACCAACTTTTTATTGAATTCTGTCTAGTTCAGTGATTAGAGCATGGAACTCAAACTAGGATTTCTTTTTTGCAAATCCATCTCATATGTTTGTCTCAGAGCATGCTTCCTCTTCAGTAAGATATCCCTCAAGATCCCTCACTTGTAACATTTGTCTATACTGTCTCCGATTCCTCATGTTTTTTTAAAAAAAATTGAGGTGAAATTAACAGTTCATATAACATAAAAGTAACTGCTTCAAAATGTGTGGCATTAATACATTCACAAGGTTGTGTAACCACTGCCTCTATCTATTATAGTATCAGAACATTTTCATCACCTTCAAAGAAACTCCATGTCCATTAGTTGTCATTCCCCACTACTCCCCTACTATCTGCCATCGTCTGCAGCTACTGACAATCTTTTCCTGTCTTTATGGATTTACTTACTGTAGAAACTTCATATAAGTGGTTTTATACAATATGTGACCTTTTGTGTCTGGATTTTCTCACTTGGCAGGATGTTTTTGAGATTCATGAATATATATCACTACTTCATTCCTGTTTATGGCTGAATGATGTCCAGGTGTGTGTGTGTGTATGTATGTATGTTCCAGTTTGTCTAGCCTTTCACCCATTAAGGAATATTAGGGCTCTTTTCATCTTTTGGCTGTTGTGAATAACGTTGCTGTGGACATTAGTGCAAAAGTACTTGAGTACCTGTTTTCAGTTCTTTTTTGAAAAAAATGTAAGAGTAGAATTACTGGGTCATGTGGTTTCTAAGTTTAACTTTTTGAGGAACCGCCAAAATGTTTTTCACTTCTGCTCCATTTTATAGTCTGCATTTTGTTTTGTGAAGACTCATTGAAACAGTGTATTTACAAGGGCTTTGTTGGATACAAAGAATTACTGTATATGAATTATTAAATTTTGTTTAAGTAAAATCTGTCTCTAAAAGAAAATCTAGTTTGACTTGTAGTGAAAGACAATGTGGATAGATAATATATAACCAGAGTGAGAGATTCAAGAATTATGATAGAACACACTATAAGTGTTTGTTTTTAGGAAAATTGGCATATTCTTTGAGTCAGATCTTGAGCCTGAAAAGATGTCATATAGAGGAACCAGCCATAATAGAAGCAACTGATAGGGAGATTTGGGTCATGGCCTCCAGAATTTGTATTATAAAAGTTTGGCTCACACTTTTTTGCTAGGTCCCAGTCATTTCTGTTGTCATTTTTAAGTCTTTGACAAATTTTCCTGACACTTATGACACCTTATATACATTGATCAACAGTAAGTTAATGAGGACAAGTAGAAGTGGTGATGGAGACATGTTTGATCAAGTCACTTAGTTCTGACTGTTTTTTTTTATGAAATGGGGGTTCATATATTTACTTTTAGTGCTGTGGTCCAGTGAAAGCTTTAAAATTCTTTTATGCATTTTTTTTTAGCTTACATGCTTTCTAATGGACTCTTACATTTCCAAGATGAATAAAAGCAAATGTGGTATTATGCTTTACTTCTATAAAAATAAGTTTGACTCACTACTTACAGTTTTGGCAATATTGGAAATACAAAGCTTTTCAAGATTTCAAAAGTGAACCCCACCTTTAGCTTACATGTGTGTGTATCGGTGCTGGTAATTCATGCTGATCAGGGGAAAATACAAGATTTATAGGCAGTTCAAGTTGCTTGTGGAGGATAACAGTGTACCAGACTTGTTTTAATGTAAGCCATTTGTGAGAGTTACTTTTTCTCCTTCATAATCGTTCGCAGTCATAACATTTCCCCAAACTTGCCTGTGCTCAGTTTAATGCTTAAAACCCCTGGGCATGGCTGTGCCCTCACACTGTATCTACAGTATGCTCTGAAGCTAGATTACACCTGTAATCTATAGATTTTATTAAGCCCCTTCCCTGTTAAGAAACCTTCATTGACTGCCCCTAGCCTCAGAATCCTGTCCAGTTTCCAGAGCCCACACTCTTACTCCATTCTGCATTGGAAATCTTACACGTTATTGAGGGATCTCGCCCTCATCTCTCCCTGTTGAAATCCACTCATTGCTGTGAGCCTCTGATGCAGTGTCTCCTCCTCGAGTGAACCAGTATCAGCTAGACGTTGGAGGTCATCTAATCTATTGGTTTTCAATGACAGTTTCCTTTGTATCAAGTGGAAGCCTCTTTGGCATCCCCAAATATAAAGCAGAGAGCAGCAGGTCTGGTGTAGTTGAAGAAGGTTAAGGAACCTGAGCTCACCAGTGAGACCTCTTCATGTCTCCTCTCCCATGGCCCTGAAGGGACTCCATGAAACTTGCAGGTTCTGTGGGGTCAGTTGGAACTGCAAAGTGAGACTATGTACGGATGAGGATGCAGAATTTTGTTGAGAAGGATGGAAAAACAAGATGAAAAACAGGCAGCTTTAGAGCCCAAGTCTCTTAGCTCCTGGCCTGATTGGGTGTTTCTGTCATGACACCTTGTTGCATTTTAACTTCATAACACCTCCTGATCGAAGTTAACACATTCTGTCATGAAAAAAGTTATTTTGTGCGTCTCTCCTTCACACTGATAAATGATATAACAGTATCAGTCTAAAGCTTTTTTTTTTCTTTGTAGCCCTCCTCCAGCACTCAGATACAATTTATACTTAGCACAGCACACTTTTCATAATTGACAGTTACTAAATCATTTATCAAATATTTATCAAAGGTTACAAAATAGTCTTTAAAACCTTTGATGTTTGTACTTCAGATACGCAAGTAGAGTCCCATCACCGTGGGTGGTTTTGTGTGACAAAACAATTTCAGTGTCCTGGGAGATGACCCAGACAAACAATGCTTTCTTAGTCTGGACACAAGCAATGCTTTTCAACAGCAGTTACACAGAAGGGCTCTTCAAAGGAAGTAAGTTGCTGTTGTGGTTTGCACTGTAGTCAGGACAGCAGAGTTAAGTTGCTACCTGAACAATTCACAACTGCTTTGTCCTCCATCCAGTAGGAATTAACCCTCGCTTCCCTTTGCCGCCTCTTACTTTGAAAATCCTAGTCATTTACAATTAACCCAAACGTTGAAACTCTCCATCCAGAGCGAGTACAAACACAGCTTTGGGAGTCAGAGGAAAACGAAGGACAAGACTGATTCATATTTTCATCTCTGCCCCACCAGATCCAAAACATCTTTTCTTCCCCTGGCTAAACATGGCTCCATTTCTAGGTGTTAGATCAATCGAGTCATTTCCAGAGCACTTAATTTTGTCCCCTCAGTAGCAAAATAATTTGGTAATTTGTGTTTATTTTGAAAACGTTTTGATTTATGCTGAGGTCAGTCTCAATAAACAGCCTGGTTTGTGCTTGGAAGATGTGACTCCAGATGTGCCAATGTGTCAGCCTGGGATTCAGCCTGGTTCTGAGCCTTTTAGTCACTTTAATCTTTGGGGTATAAACTCCTTCTCTTACACAAGAATGAAAGGATGCCATGGATTAGCGGAGAAAGATTAGGATAATTTAATCCCGTGGAGTTGGTTGGTTTTAGGTGTTGCAGTGATTTCCCATTTACACCTTTGTTTTTGCAGGAATTACCTGAAAGATGGGAAACTACCAAAAAGATTGCAGCAACTGTCAGACATGAAGTCTCACCTCTCCAAAATGCAGAAGTCACTCTTATAAGGAAAGCATGTGTTTTGTTTGATGTAAGCTAGCAAACAAAGTTGTTTTGTTGTTGTTGTTTGTTTAAGAAAGGTTTTATAAGACTGGTTGAAGCTGTTTGTTTGAGATTCACTTTGTTTTTTTCTGCCTTCATCAGGAGAAGCAGGCAGAGTTCAGAGAGAGATTTAGATTCTATGCGCCCCTTCGTTTTAATGCAGAAAATCCATATACAGTACTCGATAAGGTAATGTGATTGCAGTGATCTTGTGTGTTATAATAGCTATTTTAAAAAAGAAATTTGGACTCTGAGATACTGCTATATTTTACCTTAGTTTTGCAATTAGTTATGGGTTGAGAATTAGCTCTATAAAACCCAGTTATAAACCATTTTCACTAAGTAAAGTATATTGTGATTTAAATCAAGTCTCCCCAGAATGCTGTTATCATCAAAGTACTCATACTAATGAAACTAACAACTACTATTATTTTTTAAACACTTTATATGTCAAGAACTTTGTTCAGCATGTTACATACATTATTTATTTCAGTTCTTGCAATATCCCTGTGATATAGCTTCTATTCTTTTTTTTTCAGATGAAGATATAATCATGTATAATTAAGTCACTTGTTGGAGATAACACAGTTAGTGACAGAATCAGTGTTAAAATTTTAGCTGTTTATTTTTTTAAAAAATGAAAAACATTGACCATTGTACTGTTTCCTATGTGATACTTGGTTTGTAATTCTTAATCATAGTGAGGAAAGTCCATAACTTACTCTTTTCACCCACTCTGATTTATGTCTATTGTCTCATTCTGTACTTTCTTCTTTAGGCTTGATTACATGTCCTCAGTCTCATTCCCAACTGCACACTATATATGTCCCCGTGCTCACTCCCCAAATATATGTTATGTGGTTTTCTGGAGGTGGCTAGTGTTTTAGGGCCTTTCAAGTGAATACCCATAACTTAATTCTGGGTACAAATATTATTGAGTCATTCAAACCTAGTTCATAATGAGCTACTTTATCATGATTGATTATAAGAATGTATATAACAGGCAGATAATCCAAAATGGTGCATAATTCATGAGACTTGAAAAACATTTTAAAATTTTATTAGAAAAATTATATCTTTGTTTCTCTAAGAATTCTTAACCTAGCAGCCTGGCTGATGACTTTGAAGCTTAGATTCAGGGACCGGGAGTTTTTCTGGGTCCCTGTAGGCTGCCATCCTGACTTGACTTCATGCTGGAGATAGTCTTTACTCCTTTTGTTATTCAGTCGCTCAGCTATGTCTGATTTTCTGTGACCCCATGGACTGCAGCACGCCAGGCTTCCCTGTCCTTCACCATCTCCCGGAGTTTGCTTAGACTTATGTCCATTGAGTCAGTGATGTCATCCATTTAGTCCTCTATTGTCCCCTTCTCCTGCCTTCTATATTTCCCAGCATCAGGGTCTTTTCCAGTGAGTCAGTTCTTTGCATCAGATGGCCAAAAAATACTCCTTAGACTGTTGTAAAGCTTGAAGCTGACGCAGTTTTTTATTTCTCTTTCCAAATTTTGATTTGAATTTAGTTTTAACTGCTTTCAACCATTCATTGAACACCATTCTATAGCATGAGGTCTTTTCTTTCACTTGGCTGAGGGAAAGTGGTTAATATATTCACTGAAAAGGGAGTAGGTTAGAATATGATAATACTGTTTTTTTTTTTTAAGATTATATATACATTGCAGGTGGTCTGAACAGATTGGATGGGGAGACGTTTTTCCTTGACTAATACGCTGTGTGTAAACATTTCCTGCAGTTATCATTTATTGAGCCTTACCATTTTCATGCTATACTATAACACCATATAGTTACATATTTAAAAGTCAGATATTTAACTTTGCACCTACAGAATATGTTGAGGATTTATACAAAGTTTTGAATATAGAAGGACTCAGTTGCTTTATCTTGAAGTCATTTTCTTGTGTGTTTGTTCAGCAAGTGTGTCTTACGTTTATGTAACTAGCTTCAACCCAAGTCATGTATATGCTTGTTCTGGACTGACATGGTAAGTCCCAGTACCCAAGGCACTTCACTCCAAAAGATGGAAACCATTGACCCACCAGGAACAAGGGGAGTGGTGTGGTATATCTCTCCCTTTATAACCAATTACTGGGAAATTTATATTATGTTCTATTCTTTCTCCATAGCCAAAGATACAGTGAACTATTAGATTAAAATAATTAGATTTATATTTCTAGGAATAATTAGTATAACTAATGGGAAAATAATTAAAAATAAATAAAATGGCTGTTGACTCTGGGGAATGTGGTTGACTAGCCATTTCGAAAATCCCTCCTTTCTAAAACAGATTTTGAAACATGTCCACAAATACATAATTCTAAATCTATTGCTGAGTTCTCAAGAAAACAAGAGAAATCTTTAAAGGGCAGGAAAATAGAGTAGCTGAAACCAGGATGGAAAGCAGAGGGAAACATAAAACCCTGTGCTGTTATAGGGGCAAGTCAAAGTACCAGAAGTCTAGAACTTTGTGATTAGCCCTCTCAGGGCGAAGGAGGAGATCCTTTTAAGAGGGCTTCCCCGGTGGCTCAGCTGGTAAAGAATCCACCTGCATGTGGGAGACCTGGGTTCGATTTCTGGGTTAGGAAGATCCCCTAGAGAAGGAAAAGGCTACCCACTCCAGTATATTCTGGCCTGGAGAACTATATAGTCAACTGGGTTACAAACAGTTGGACACAAATGAGCGACTTTCACTTTCACCCTTAATGAGAGGGTGGGCTGGGAAAATCTGCAGCCTGCAGGGAGCCTTTGAGATGACAGTCTTCGCTCAGATCAGGGTGAAAAAATGGAGAAAAGGATCCTCTGGAATTGGTAAACATGAGACTGTTCTCCCAAGAGTTGTGGTTCAATTTTGTACTACCCTTATGGTTAAGGAATTTCCAGGTCAGGAAACTGAAATGGTTTCAATAGTTCTTAGCACACAATAGAAGCAAATCCAGATGATCTCTAGATAGAGGAGAATAAAGTGATCTTATTCTAATCTCTTCAGGGGCCCAGCAGATTAAATTTAGTTAAATTTGTGTTTACAGTAAAATAAACACACGATCATGCATCAGGGCCAACAGAAAGAGCAAACCACAGATATAGACACATATAAAATGTCAGATATTAGAAAACATTTATTGGGATTACTCTGGTGGTCCAGTGGTTAAGACTGTTCTTCCACTGCACGGGGCCTTGTTTTGATCCCTGGTCAGGGAACGAAGATCCCACATGTGGTGCAGCCACACACACACACACACACACACACACACACACAAAACAACCCAGCATTTATTAAGGGAATAAAAGGTAATATTGAAAAAAAAAAATAAGCAAGTTCTTAGTTTTGAGACTATCAAAAATGATCAGCTGAGTTTGAAAAAGGACCAGGGGCTTATGGAAATGAAAAATAAAATTATTTTAAAAGACACAACTCAGTAGTGGTGAAAGAACTAGTTAAATTGAAGAGAGGATTAGTGAAATGCAAATGACATTGGAAGGAATCACTTAGAAGATAGCACATAAGTGAAAGGAGATAAAAAAACACAGAAGAGATGAAGAGATACAGAGTAAGAAGTTAGAATGATGCTAACTCTTCTACTCAGACTTCCTGGAAGAGAGAATAAGCAGACTATTAGACAAGCAGTGGAGATACAGTAGCTGAGTTTTTTTTTAGAACTGGTCAAAGCATGAATCAACTGAGGATATTCACTGATAAAGGTTAACTACGAAGGCAACATCTCGACACATCACAATGAACTACAGAGTACCCATGGCAAAGAGAAAACCTTTAAAGCATCCAGATAGAAAAGACAGATTATCTGTTAGAAGTGATACCTGAGGTAAGAGCATATTTGTCACCAGCAAAAATGGAAGCTGGGAGATAGATGATTTTTTCCCAATTCTCTTGTGTAAAATTATATTTCAGTAACAAGGGTATATTTAAGGTAAACAAAAGCAGAATGCATCAACCATCAACAAATCGCTGAAATGACTTCAAGAAAAGAGAGGACAAACAAAGCCAAAATTGATCCTCAGAAAAGACTAATTATATTGACAAATCCCAGATGGAAGTAACAAAGGGGAAAAAAAAAACCACAATCCTAGGAATAAATAGGGAACCAGCAGTACATAAAGAGCAGAAATTCAAAAGATCATCAAATATAATTAATAATAAAAATTTAAGCAAAACGGATACATTTTTGGAAAAACATAACTTACTAAAACTATCTCAAGAAATAACATACCTGAATAGTCTTATAATTATGAAAAATTACCCAGTAGGAAAATAAAAATTTAAACCATTAGTTTAAAACAGAGAGAATAACAGGCCCTGATGGGTTTATAGGTTAATTCAAGGAGCTTTCTGGAAATAAACCTCATTCATATGCTTCCAGAGCCCACAAGAATGAACACTCAAAAATTGATTTATGAAGCATGTCTTATTTTTGTGAAAGGACAGTACGAGAAATGAAAAATTATAAGCTGTTCTTTTTTCTGTACACATAGATACAAATGAACTAAAAACCTAATCAAATCCATATAAATTGGTTGGGTTCATTCCAGGAAAATGTTTAACATTAGAAAATTAATATAATTCATCATATTAAAAGATTAAGAGAAAAGTCATATAGCCATCTTAAGAAATGCCAAAAGATCTTTAGGTATCATTTAACATTCATTCATGGTGAAATACAGAAATGACTACCAGCAGTAGAATAAATTAATTGTAGAGTATTCACACTGGGTAGTGCCATAAAGTGGTAGAAGTGAACTTAATATATACTTTTCATGAATATGTAGAAGTACCTCAAAAATAAAATATATTAAAATTCTTAATATATAGTGTTCAGGTAAATTTCAAGCCATAAATTCTAAGAGTTTAGCATTTGCAGTACAAACACCTGTAGTGAAAGTATAAAATCAGTGATATTAAACAAAAATTTAGTGATTTTGTTTATAGTGGAAAAGAGAAGGATAAAATCAAGAAGGTCATTAAAAGTTATTAGTAAAAAGTATTTCCTAAGCTGGATGGTGTGTATGCTCATAGCCACACCCCTTTTTAATGTGTATAGATTTTTTTTAACATTTGTAATACTAAGAGAATTGCAGTTAATGTTTATAAAGGTCTAACATGTAAAAATGAAACAATTTACATCATGAAAGACTGTTAGAGTGCTAATATTCTAATTTGTGTTGCAAGAAATTACGAGATTTGAAAGTTGTTAAATGATTAACTGGGTATTTAAAGTTAAGAAAAGAAACTCAAAAGACCTAAAGTAATAGAATTGTTGGATATTGAGAGAAGGTTGAGAGCAAATAGAAAGTAGAAAAGCAAAGTTACATCCTTTGTTTGCAAACCCAGTAAGTCTGTAATGTCCAAACTTGATAAATCAATAAGCAGCAACTTGTGCGGAGAACTGAGAACTAGAGAAACAGCCTCCAGAAGGATGGGAGAGAGGACCTTGGGTTTCCAGCTTTTCCTGCATGCAAGCTCTTTTGTACTCTTTGCACTTGACCATATTAAGACACCTGTATGTTAATAAAACTAAAATTAAGAATTGGCTTATTAAAAAAAAAGAATTGGCTTATCAAGAAAGAAAAGAGTCAGCTTATATTTGGTGTAAAACGTAAACTGTTGTACATTGATGAGACAGTAGGGCAGCCAAATATGATCATATGGTGAATTTTTTCATGTGTGTGCTCTGTCTTCATCAGTCGTGTCCAACTCTTTGTGACCCGATGGACTGCAGCCCGCCAGGCTCCTCCGTCCATGGGCTTCTCCAGGCAGGAATACTGGAGGGGGTTGTCGTGCCCTCCTCCAGGGGATCTTCCCAAGCCAGGGATGGAACCTGTGTCTCTTATGTCTCCTGCATTGGCAGGCAGGTTCCTTACCACTAACGCCACCTGGGAATATTTTGTGTATTGATAATCTCTAGGAAATTTTTTAAATTTGAAGATTTTTTTATTTTTAAGTGATTTATACTTCAGTGGAATCTTCTTGCACCTCCTCTTTTGCTCCCCAGAAAAGTCCCCAGCTGTATGAGGAAAATCAAGAGGAAAATTTGTATTCATAGCAATTTGATACCAGAGCAGATTCTGCTGAAATTGTATATGGGGAGGGTATTGATACTATTATTGTGTTTACTGATAGTCTACTCTAACTTTTTGAGTAGCTGTGAGTTTGCTTATCTAAAGCCTTCTACATTTTACCAGTAATTATACTTCAGATTTCTCTTTCTTTTAAAAATCGAAGTTGTAAATGTTAATGGAACCAGAACACTGTGGCTTCTCTTCTCTGGCAGCTTGTTGGATATTAAGTGTGTTTGTGTTTCTGCTTTCTCCTCAGGCAAATCAAGAGCTTGAGGCATTAGAAGAAGAGATGCTGCAAATGCAGGAATCTACTCATCTTTTTGAAGTGGCTCTTCCAGAGTACAAACAAATGAAGCAGTGTCGCAAAGAGATAAAATTGCTCAAGGGGCTCTGGGATGTCATTATTTATGTTAGAGTAAGACACTGCTTGTTGAAAGCATGCGTGTCTTTTTTTTCTTTCAGTATTTCTTTTGTATAAATATGCAATTTTTAGTGTCTGCATAATTTTATAATATCTTAAAATATGTGATTGTTAAACTTTTGCCCCAGAATTGGAGTTCCTATAACGTGTTAGTTGAAGATCCTTCTCTGAATTATTAGTGGCTTTTGTTTTCAGTTCTCAATGAAACTTCGTATGAGTCTCAAACCCTTCTAGAGAGTTCTATAGTATATAAATAAAAATTAATACACATTGCACACGTATGGTCATCTCTGCATGCAAACTCACATACATACCCATGCTTGTACTTATATATATGTGCATATATAAACAGGCCTGGCTAAAAGTAATTTGTATATTGCTAGTTAAGTTACCGGAGAAGGCAATGGCAGCCCACTCCAGTCCTCTTGCCTGGAAAATCCCATGGACGGAGGAGCCTGGTGGGCTGCAGTCCATGCGGTCGCTAAGAGTCGGACACGACTGAGCGACTTCACTTTCACTTTTCCTTTCATGCATTGGAGAAGGAAATGGCAACCCGCTCCAGTGTTCTTGCCTGGAGAATCCCAGGGACGGGGGAGCCTGGTGGGCTGCCGTCTGTGGGGTCGCACAGAGTCGGACACGACTGAAGTGACTTAGCAGCAGCAGCAGCAGCAGTTAAGTTACAAACTTAAGTATAAAAATAAGTTCTAGGGAACTAGGCATATTGCAATATGTGTAATACATGATTTTCTTTGAAGTTAGTTGAAAGCCATATAGAAAGACATTTACAAGAAACTCACGAGAGTTTTGGCTATAATGGACGAAGGTTTTCTTCTAAAAGCTTATCTTATATGTAGAATATAAAAATAGGATATTTAATGGTAGCATTATTTATCAATTCATTCAAACTATTCAGGATTAAGTGATAATGATGGTATGTGTATGGAATTTGCCATTGCTTCTAGAAATTAATGTATCACAATGTTTTAGCCTTAAGTTTGACATGTTCTGATAACTTTTTTGTTTTGGTTTTAGGGAAGCTTTGACAGGTGCAGTTAATACTTAAGTAATTGACTTTCCCCTGGATGATGGAGTTGCTGTGTATCATCAGTTTATATATTTTGCTGTGGAGACTGGCTTTCACCAAATGTTGTTGACACTTTTATCTGCTTGTGCGTTTTCAGAGAAGCATTGATAATTGGACTAAAACCCAGTGGAGACAGATTAATGTGGAGCAGATGGAAGTGGAACTCAGAAGGTTTGCCAAGGCAAGTTCCATAACTGTCTGTGATGACGATTTATCTTCCTCTGCACCACCTCCTTCCATCTTCCCTAAGCTAGAATCTGCTGTGTTGGGCCGCATGTCCTTATTTACTTCAAACAGGATGATTTGAGACAGGAATTTTTTCCCCACTGTCAGCCAGTTGCACTTGTAATTAAGCCTGCCTTTCTGTGAATGAGTGGATAAAAGCATATTAGGGCTAATGAACTGATGAGCAGCAGCTATACTCAGGCACTCTCTGTGGCTGTCTAGAGTAAAAAAGAGGTGAAGAGCAGGGCTGAGGGGTTAGGCGTATGAAACTGTTGAATTCTTTCCTTAGCAACTGTAAGTGTATTGTATCTTCAAAGGTACCTTTTGACTGTGGGCTTTGGGGCAGCTCGCTGGGGTAACCTGTGGAAATATATAAAATATTATGATCTTTACTCTTACTGCCTACTCTGATATCACAGCGGGGCTCAATACAACAGAACTCAGCTTCTTTGAATATTGTGTTTTGGTATCTAATCCCCACTGCCCTATGCCCTCTAAAGAAAGTAAAGCCTCTTTGGATAAAGCCAAATGCATAGCAGTGAGAGGCTGGGCCTTATGCTCTCTTCTTGCCCCAGAATGTCCTTGCCCAAACGCAGTCCAACCAGCTCTCCCCATCTTTTTCTCCCATTTTCTCCTGGTCCAAGAGCCCTAACTAAAATACCCCATCATTCTTTTTGATGCCACGGGTCACTGTACTCTTCTGTGCTGTTTCCTGCCTGTGTCCTTTACCATTGGACAGTCTCACGGCAGAGTTACCATTTAAACCCCACTCTCAGCTGAAACTCTTTTGCTTTTTTTCCTCTAAAACAAGTAGCACTGTCCTTTTGTGCTGAAATTGTTACTTTATTTTGGGTTTTCTCATTCAAAATTGTTGATATTGTTCCATGAGCCAAGAAGACAGTCAAGTCAAGGGCCCTATTTGACATGTCTTAAAGTTGTTTAAACAAGTCAGGTCTTTGGAGGAAGGTCTTAGCAATCCAGTAACAATCTCAGTTCTCTGCATGTTTCTGTTTCAAGAGGAAACTCTCTTCATTCACATGCCCTGTAGACTCTATTATTTCACTACATTTAATGACCTGTGGATTTCCTCATGGGACATCCAATTAGAGCCTGTGAATAAGAAACCAGTTTATCTAGGTGTCTTGTACATAGTGGACTAGTACATGAGAGAGTGGATATTTTTATTTTTTCTCTGGTTTTAGTCCTTAATCTATGAGCTTAAACACATTTACTCTCTTCCTAATCCAGGAAAAAGTACACATAATTTTTCATAGGAGGCAGATTATAAGGTATATTTTCCTATATGTAAGAGCTGGGTTGTTTTTTCACTTTCCTTTAGGAAATCTGGTCTCTGGATAAGGAGGTTCGCATGTGGGATGCCTACTCGGGCCTGGAAAGCACAGTGAAGGACACGATGACCTCTCTGAGAGCCGTTGCCGAGTTGCAGAGTCCTGCCCTCAGGGACAGGCATTGGCACCAGCTGATGATGGCCATTGGGGTCAGTGTCCTGGGTCTCATTAACTGAATGTTTTTGTGACATGTTATTGGTTCATATCATTCATCTGGGATGAAGTGGGATTTGGGAAAAGGTCTCTGATCAGTTGCAGGAGGTCAGTCCCCTTGAGACGTGACAAAGGTCTGCACATGCAGAGTTCCTAGTTTTAGCCTCTGCTGCTATAGACTAAACGTGTCATTCCCCTGCACCTGCCCAGTTCATGTGTTGAAGCCTGAATCCCCAGTGGGACAGTATTTGGAGATGGAATACTTGGGAGATGATTAGGTCATGAGGGTAGAACTCGAATGAGGTCAGTACTTTTGTAAGGGGAAAAAGGCCTCAGAACTTTCTACTCTCTACCATGTGAAAACAAGACAGATGTCTGTTAACTAAGAAGGAGGCCTTCACCAAGAACCCAGTGAAGCTGGCACCCTGATCTTGGACTTGTAGCCTCTAGAACTGTGAGAAATAAATTGTTTGTTGTTTAATCCCCCTAGTCTATGGTGTTTCATTAAAAGCAGACAGAAGTAACTAAGACACCCCCCACCCGGCACCACCACTTTTATCTCTTACTGGCTGTATGACCTCACACAATACACTTAACCTTTTTGTATTGGGTTTTACTTTTTATTAATAAAATGAGATAGATGCTATCTACTCTCACATATCATGTATATCTTGTAAGAGTCAAGTAAGATAATGTGAAGGCATTTTATAGAGCATGACATGGCTGCAAAAATTCTTATATTTAGTGGAGAGGATGAAAGAGCACAGAAGTGAATTTAGGAGGACAGAGAATTTGGAAATAGTGATCCCCTCCCACAATTCATTTATTAATAGTGTCGTGTTTTGTTTTGATGGTCTTTTGATGGTCTTGATTTTATTGCAAAATATAGAATTATTTCTCATGTGTTCATGCCACTTGAGATTATGTTTTCTTTCCCTTCTAAGTCTTTTTAAGAGCAAATATACCAACCTTACATTTTATTTTCCGGGGAAGGTGACCTTCATGAATTTAGAATATATTACAGGCAGCCTGATGTGCTTGTTTTCTGCTAGGCATGCATTGTGAAAAAAGGCTTTCATGATTTGAAGTTTGCAGAGTGGGGAAGTTGAGGAGAGGCTCAGCCTCATGAAGTGGGGACGGCCTAGGCTTTGTTGGTCCAACCCTAACACATCTCTGGGATCCTGGGCAAGTTACTTGCTCTCTGTACCTCAGTTGCCCCTTCCATGAAATACAAGTAATGCTATAGTGCTCCTGTGCAGACTTGGTGAACACACAGGAGATGAGATTCATATAGACTTAGCATGAAGCAAATCCTCAGTGAATGGTTCCTGAAGCTGTTGTTATTATAGTACTTTCCAGAGAATCTTTTAGACATTGCATATTTAGACTTCATAGTTGATTACTGTGTTCTTTCAGAAAATCTTTATTGAGTCTCCCAACATGGCATGTAGACTGTATGTCCCTTCTCCCCACCCCCTCCTCACATTTCCTCTAGTGAACTTTCTCCTCACCACAGGCTCTTACCTGTACTGTGCCTTTCTGCAAGCTAGAAAAAGATGTCTTCTCTGGCAGACAATTTAGAAAAAGGCATCTTCCTCTAGGCTGCTCTGGGGCATCAGAGCAGCGACTAGATCCATCTCCCAGTTGTCACCTATTCACTTCCAGTTGTCCATATTCACTGCACAAACCATGCAGCTAATCAGGGGACCCTGTTACACATCCCTGCTCGTTCCTCCTGTAAGACAGACCTGACTCCCATGAGCTCTAGAGGGAGGTCAAACATGATGCAGAAGTAACTAACTCATCTGGTTTGCTCAGGACTTCGTAGGTTTTAGCCAAGGAAGCACCCGGTCCTGGACACACAGGGCTGTTTAGTCATCTTGTGCAAAGAGGCAGATGGTGATCAGCAGTGTTACAGACTGGGCAGAGCCAGAGAAGACTTCAGCTTCCAGGAGGGAGGGATTGGATGTTCACAGGAGGAGCAGGAATGGAAACCATGTAGTGGGGTCAGCTCTTCATTTGTGAAGGACATGGGTGACTTTGGGCACTTAGGAAGAGCTAAGAGCTTCTTAGCAAATACTGGGGTGGGGAACTCACAAGATGATGAAGAAATGGGAATGACTTTTTTCATACGGTAAATATGAATAATGACAGTATGAGTAAGAATAATTATTTTTTGCCAAGGAACTAAGATTAAATCAATGATAAAACTAGGTTAAATCATGAAAGCAACTGGGAATTATGTTCAGTGAATAGAATACTTAAGACAAATGAGCTACTACCAGATTCCTGGGATTTCAACCAAATTATAATAAATGAATAATGTGATTCTCTTTAAATTTGGGTTTTGTGGGCAAAGGAGATAAGAAATGAGCTGACAAGGGAAGGTTATGAAACAAAAGAAATAGTATAGTGTGAACTTGGCCTAAACCTCAGCCCCCGCTTCCGGTGGGTGATGCCTCCGTAACTGTGAGTCAAAAGGCAATGTCTTTGGTTGTTCACACATTTCAGAACTTGACATGTACTCAGCTGCTGACTTGAGTAGATTTAGCTCTGATTCAGTCCTCTGGCCATTAGGTAAAAGGAATCATTAATATATATGGAATCAGTCCTGCCTTTTTTTTTTTCTTCCTAATCAGGTCAAATTTTCCATAAATGAAGCCACAACTTTGGCAGACCTGTTAGCTTTGCGGTTACACCAAGTGGAAGAGACTGTCCGAAGCATCGTGGACAAAGCCGTGAAAGAGCTGGGGACTGAGAAGGTTGTGTCCTCGGGCTGTTTCTTTTTACCCTGGGCTAATTCTGTGACTGGCACATGAGCGGACTGGGGAAAGGCCTCAGGCCCTGGTTGTGTGGAAACATGTCTCCCAGCAGGAAACAGATTCCTTCTCAGCCACAGTAGATGTGTAAAACAAGAGTTGACCCAGTTGATGATGACAATTATAGTGGAAATCGCTTATGTGTCATTTACTTGGTAGCAAGTAAAGCTGTCCATGCTTTACACTAATTCATTTAATTCTCTGAGGATTATGCCTATTCTACAGATGTGGAAACTGAGATATCGGGAAGTGATTAGCTTAGCCAGTTTCAACAAGGGAACTGGGCTTCACATTCTGGCACTTAGAGCACTGCCTATCCTGTGCTGGCTAATATGTACATAATACCTATCAGAACATGAAGATAACTTTTTAAGCCCCTTCCTGCTCTGGCATTCCACTTCAGTAAAGGATATAAAATTCAGATCCAATAAAAATGCGACATTGGTGTGATGCTTGTTCTTTTGTGTGATGAAATTCATTCTTGAAACCTCAACACCATGAATTATTTGAAGGAAATAAAATTGAGGCCAATGATATCCCTGTTTTTTTTTTAATTGTAAAAACAGTTTTAAAAATTTCATACTCCATACTCTAGGTATTGGTTCTAAATCAAACTTTCCTGCACATAACTAAATGCTGTTGATGTCTAGGTTATTACTGAAATCAGCCAGACCTGGGCAACCATGGAGTTCTCTTACGAAGTTCACTATCGGACAGGCGTTCCATTACTGAAGTTTGATGAACTATTGTTTGAAACTCTAGAGCACAACCAAGTAAGATGGATGTTTTTCTTATAGGCCTTTCTTTTAAATTATGATTTTAGGCTTTTCCAAAGTTCCAATACTCCATATCTCTTTCTTCACCCATTAGGCATCTGCTTGTGCCAGACTCTAGGCACAGTGCCATTTGGGTTCAAAAGGTATGAACACTGGTTCTCAAGGAGCTTGTCCTCGAGTCAGGAGACAGAGAAGGGTTCCAAAGAGCCTTGCCAGGTGGTGGCACTTGTGCTAAACCTTGAAGGATGGGCTAGTATTCAGGAATGATGATCAGAGAGCAGTGATGTGTGCAAAGAGGACAGTGTCCCCTTTTACTGGCATCTTGGAATGCCAAAAAGTACCTGACATTCAGAGGTGATTTAAAGAACTTGGTTTCCTTAGAATAAAGATTGTCTTGATACGAATAATGAAAAATAAGGTTGGAGAGACAGACCAGAATGCAGCCTATGTGGTCCTGAGTTTCAAGGGTATGAGTTGGTGTCTCTTTGGATGTGAGAGATAAGAAAGGTGAAATAATAATAGTTTTGTTACTATTATTAGACATAAGGCACTTAGGAAAGAACCTGGTCTAAGAGATGATGCTCTATTATTTCTGATGTATTTAAAGTGAGGGACATTGATGTTAAGATGGAAAGTCAGACCCAGAGCCCAGTGCAGAGGTTCAGTCTAGAACTATAGGTTGGGAGGTCATTGTTGGTGTTGTGAGAATTGATGAGCTAGATAATGAGAGGAAAAGAGGATGCACTAGCCAAGAACAGTAGGGAAGGGCTGCATTTAGTGAGTGAGAGGAGACATAAAGGAGGCAGAGAGTGAGGATGATCAGAGACATAGTGGGAAAAGGATGCTGCAGTATCATAACAGTCATGGGATAATTTTTTCCACCAAAAATAGAGTCAGTATTGTGGAAACCACCTAAATGTCAATTGATGGATGAGTGGATAAAAGAAATGTGTGTGTGTGTATACACACACCCACACACACACACACACACATAAAATGTATATAATAATGTTTCATGTGTGTTTGTGTGTATATATATAAAATGGACTGTTCAGCTGTTAAAGAGAAATCCTGCTGTTTATGACTAAAGAGAAATCCTGCTGTTTGTGACCACATGAATTGATGTTGAGGGCATTATGTGAAGTGAGATAACTCAGAGACAGCAAATACTGTATGTTCTGTCTTATATGTGGAATCTAAAAAAGCCAAACTCATAAAAACAAACAGTAGAATGGTGATTACCAGGTGCCGGAGCTTTGGGGAAGAGGGAGATGTTGGTTGAAAGGTATAGACCCTTAATAAGTTCTGGACATCTATTATACGCTATGGTTGACTGTATTATAATGAAAGTTATTAAGAGAGTAGATCTTAACATTAATGTGTTAATGTTAACACATGCATGCTCACGCACAAAAGGTAATTATGTGGGGGGATACGAGCGTGCTTAGTCGTGTCCGACTCTGTGACCCTATGGACTGTAACCTGCCAGGCTCCTCTGTCCATGGGATTTCTCAGGCAAGAATACTGAAGTGGGTTGCCATTTCCTTTTCCAGGGAATCTTCCCAACCCAGGGCTCAAACCAGGGTCTCCTGCAACTCTTGCCTTGGCAGGCAGATTCTTTTACCACTGAGCCATGGATAGAGATATTAACAGTACTGTGGTAACCATTTCATAGTATTTACACACATGTATCAAATCATCACATTGTACGCTTTAAACTTACAGAGCATCTGAGTAATATCTCAACAAAGCCGTGGGTGGGGGTGTGGAAAGAATGAAATGTATTGAGTACTTCAGAGGTGAAGGAGAATGAGAGGAGGTTGTTCTGCTCAGTGACTTCTGAGATTTCAGTGTCAGAGAACAGGGGAAGCACCCGAGGATCTGCATGGTGTTAAAGCAAGGCTTAGTGTTAGGACAGCTGCAAAGTTTGCTAGTAAATTCAAAGGGGAGGAAAACAGAGCCCGAAGGCTTAGCAAGCTAGAGGGAAGTTTGTTTTATATTTTCAATATTAAAGAAAAAAAAGGAACCATAACTTTGGAATGATTAGTAGGCAGAGACCATGGGGACAGTGAAGGAGGATGAAAGAATGAAATTAATTCCTCAAACTGCACCCTGGTGCCCAATATATTTTCCTGTCTACAAAGAGATACGTGTTAGTCTTGTAGAAGACATATTACATGTAGTTGCTTATGTTTATCTTTTTTCTTTTAAAAAAACAAAACTAAACCATGTTAGTGTGAATATGCCATTACTTCACTAATTTAGCAAATACTTGCTGAATGCTTGTTCCACATTTTGTTTGCTAGGTCTTAGGAATCCAGCAGTGAAAAGAAGTGATGTAGCCCCTCCCTTGTGGTGCTCAGATTACTAATTTAGATGTTATTTCACATTCTTTGCCTTCATTTAGGTTCAGTTACAGACTCTGCTCCAAAGCAAGTATGTGGAATATTTCATTGAGCAAGTCATAAGCTGGCAAAACAAATTAAACACAGCAGACTCGGTCATCTTTACTTGGATTGAAGTCCAGTGCACTTGGTCTCACCTAGAAAGCATCTTTGTTTGTTCAGAAGATATTCGAATCCAACTTGTCAAAGATGCTCAGAGATTCGACAGAGTAGATGCTGAATTTAAGGTTTGTGGAAGACAGGCTATTTTCTATCCTAACAACTTTTTCCAAATAATATAAAAGCCTTGTAAAGAAATATCTTTTTCTAAATAATGTAAAACCCTTATATAAAGAAGCATAATTTGGGGTGTTGAATTTATGAAATATATATATGTAATCAGTATTTGCATTTCAGGAGACAAAAGTTAGGAAACTTTTCTGTGTGATGGGTCAGAATCAATATTTTAGGCTTTGTGGTTGCATATGATCTCAGTCACAACTCTGCTCAGGGCCACCTTTATCATGTGAAAGAAAACACACAACATAGACAGATGGGTGTGGCTGGCACCAGTAAAACTTTTATAGACACCAAAAATTGAATTCCATATTATTTTTTGTATGTTACAAAGTATTAGATTCCTTGGATTTTTTCCAACTAGTTAAAGATGTAAGCATGAATGGATGTTGTCTTAACTTTGTGCTGTACAAAACTAGGCAGCAGACCTGATGCTTCCCACAGAACATGAAGTGCCTACCCTACAGGAAGGCCTAGGAGACAGGTTCCCTTCATGAAGTAAGAGACCAGGGAGGGGAAGCCAGTTACAAAGTTACACTATCAGTTATTGGTTTGTTTCATAAGAGCCACAGAGAATACGTGAAAGGATTAGTCAGTCGTGTCTGACTCTCTGTGACCCCACGGACTGTAGCCCGCCAGGCTCCACTGTCCGTGGGATTCTCCAGGCAAGGATACTGGAGTGGGTTGCCATTTTCTTCTCCAAGGGATCTTCCTGACCCAGGGATCAAACCCAGGTCTCCTGCATTGCAGGCAGCTTCTTTACTGTCTGAGCTATCAGGGAAGCTCCAGAGTAGATGGTGAGGTAATATAATAATAAATGATTTGAAAGACTTTAAAGAGAATAGTGGCTTTACATTTTTATATAGAAATGGGGATGAATTATTTTCTCCTTGCTAGCTAAAACAGAATACCCGAGGGATTCTATATTGTTTAACTTTTAAGCGGGAAAGAATAGATAGATAGTTTAGTATTCATCTCATTTTTAAATATGAATATATTCTTTAAGATTCTGGTTCTCTTTCTCTTTATGTTTTTATTTGTTTGGTTTAGAAGAGAGAAATTCTTCATGGACCCAGAGTGGTGGTAATGCTTATAAAATTTATATTGATAAAAACTATGTGATTACACTTTGTTTTTGATGTTCATCTAAAAGTTTAATAGCAGAACAGATATGGTGTTAGTCTCATTAAAACCTTGCTTTCTCATAGTTTGTTCTTCACTTTTTGATTCCCCAAAGGGATGAAAAAAATCTAGAAAAGTAATTTCTATTATCAATGGTTGCGTGTTATACTTTCACACAGGAATTAATGTTCAGAACAGCTAAAATAAAAAATGTTTTGGAGGCAACGTGTGAGCTGCATCTCTATGAAAAACTTAAAGATTTACAGTACAGGTAAAAATACAACTACAAAGTGATCAATTTGTTATACTTTTGACATTACTTTTGAATATATAATAGTATTTAATATTATGTTACTGTAGATATAACCTCTACTAATTTAAAATTTTGCTTATTGTTGTCTAGTTGCCTTTTACATATTAGGTGGTATATATATATTGTGATTTAATGCAAATGCATCCAAATATATTTCTTTTCCAAGAGGGATATCACAATAGTAAAATAGAATATATTAAGTAGAGAATCAACATGAAAAAATGAAGCAACATGATTGATCAATTCTTTTATCAAAGTGTCCTGTAAATATTTATTAAGTATCTACTGTATTCTAGGAACTGGGACTGTACTCATGTAAGTCCTTTACTTTGTATATAGTTAAATTATACTAGAAATTATCCTTTGACAGTATGTTAGTACTTTTGAAATCCTTGTCCTAAAGGGCATTTTATTCATATAAAATCATACAACAGCTAGTGGTCACAAGAAAATCCTGACTTTTGATTTAAAATGGGCAGGTCAGCTACTGAGAAAGAGCTTTGTGCAGAATAGTGATCACTTTTTATTGCATGGTAGAGGAGCCTCTAGATAAAAATATATTGCATACAATTATTTCATAATCTGGAAGTTTTTTCAAGATAAAGTTGACCATAATTTTAGAAGTGTGGATTTCCACAGAAGTTAATTATTTCTTAGTCAGTGATGTTTGAGAGCTTGGTGGCTCTGCCTCTGGGTCTTCTCTGCTCTGCTAAGAATAGTAAACTGGAAATGGTTCAGGGTGTTACTACTTCCCTGGAAACCAGATAGAATTAAAGCCACATAGTGTTTGTAGACATTCCAGTGGGAAAAAGAAAACCTTAAACCAATTACATGTTAACTAAAGCACTTTGTGCTCAGGGTGAGTGATGCCAAGCCCAGTCTTCTCTCCTGCTGTTGAGAAGTGTCATTAAGATAAGTGACAATATATTGCTCTTGAAAACATGTGGGTTGTTTTCAACTATCTTTTGATATTGATTTCTAACCTAATTCCACATTGACAAGAGAACAGTCTATATGATTTCAGTACCTTTAGACCATGAAACTTTTGCACTTTCTTTTATGTCCCTGGATATGTTTCAGTGTCTCCTAGATTATAGTCTATAGAAACTTGAAAAGAATTTGTATCCTACTGTTGGGTGAAGTTGTATAAATCTTAATTAGGTTGAATTGGTTCATGGTGCTTTTCAGTTCTACTATATCCTTCTCCTTTACTATATGTTCATTCTATTAATTTTTAAGAGTTTGATGTTGAAACTCCAACTAAAAATCTTAATTTATCTAGTTAAAAAATAGTTGTATATTATAGTGGAACTATAAAAAAAAATAAGTGACAACAAGTAACGTCAACTTAAATTTGACCTGTGTTTAGTCTCAACTAATGTGTGTGTGTGTGCATCTCCTCCTACTTGGCGCAACTTGCACATTAGTCACAAACGAGATGATGATGTTATAAGAGGAGGAGACAGGTACCATGTTAAACAGTGAGCTTATTGAGATGAATGGACAGATTGAGACACTTTGGGTTTGTTGACATTTTAATAACTGAATGGACAAAATATGCTTACAATGATGTTTCATTCATACAGGCTTTCTCTCTGTGAAAAAGCTCTTGCTCAGTACCTGGAAACCAAGCGTTTGGCTTTCCCACGCTTCTATTTCATCTCTTCCACAGACTTACTTGACATTCTTTCAAAGGGAACTCAACCTACACAGGTAATACTGATTTTGAAAGTCTCATATTGTCCTTTGTTAGCTAAGGAATGTCAATTTCTCTATCATTGTCTAAATGCTACCCACCATGTCACATGTTCCAAGAGCCAGAAAACATGCAATAAAAATTCTTAATGTAGCAACAGAGAGACGTTAGAGGCAGTGCTAAAGGAACTAGGAAGGATAACTATCTTGTCCTCAGTGAAAGGACACTGTACAAATGTCTAGGAAGGAGAACAAATGTAAAAGGCTTAAAGCCTTGCAAGGAGTTAATGGAAGAAACACCAGTTCCAAATCCGCAGAATTGTGGGAGAAGTACTGGGGTTCTCTTGTCTGGTTCACAGTTTTCTTGGGAAAGACTGGGTCACTGGGAACAAGATCATGGCAGGTACCTTCTTTCAAAACCTTGACTCCAGGGTAACCCTTATAATTACTAAGCTGTGCTAGGCTTCAGTGCTGTTCAGAGGTGTATTGGTATAATTTCAGGCTCATCCTCCACCCTCTAATTTTTTCCTATCCATTCAAAAATAAGGTAGCACCCATGACAGTATGTAAAGCAAATAAAAGAGGCAGTTATCTTTTGTAATCTGAGAGCACGGATCAGAGACAAACTTTGTGCAAATCCCTAAGCTCTCCTTCCCCTAAACATTTAGAGGATATTGCTTTTCATTATATCTGTTCGGTTGCTCAAGATCTTAGAGTTGTTACAGCTGACTCCTGGGCTTGACCACATATCACAGATTGTGCTTTACTTTTATAGGTTTGTCTCCGTGTTCTTTCTCTAAAAATATTTATGCCATTTTCTTTGGAGTATGTGTCACCTCACACTACAGTTTCGTGAATTCTGATGTCCTGTGGACACGGGATTTATGTTGATTATTTCTCTCTCATTCATTTCTCTTTTTTTAGTTGGAATATCATTGCTTTACAGTGTGTTAGTTTCTGCTGTCCAGCAGAGTGAATCAGCTGTAAGTACACATATATCCCCCCCGGATCTTCCTCCTGCCCCACCCCCCAACCCCCATCTAGGCCATCACAGAGCCTTGAGCTCGGCTCCCTGTGCTATGCAGCCGCTTCCCACTAGCTCTTCTACGTGTGCTAGTGTGTATGTGTCAACCTTAATCTCCCAGTGTCGCTCCCTCCCCTTCCCCACTTGTGTCCACGTAGCTGTTCTCTTCATCCGCATCTCTGTTCCTGCCCTGCAGTGGGTTCATTTGTACCATTTTTAAAGATTCCACTTACATACATTAATATATATGCCTTTCTCTTTCTTCACTCTGACAGTCTCTAGGCCCATCCACCTATCTACAAATGACTCAATTCTCTTTTCTTTTTATGACTGAGCAGTATTCCATTGTATATATGTATCACATCTTCTTTATCCATTCATCTGTTGATGGACATTTAGGTTGCTTCCATGTCTTGGCTACTGTAAACAGTGTTTCATTGAACACTGCGGGTCCATGTATCTTTTTGAATTATGATTTTCTCAGGTTACATGCCCAGGAGTGGGATTGCAGGATTGTATCGTAGTTCTTTTTTAGTTTTTAATGTACCTCCATTGTGTTTTTCATAGTTGTTGTACCTATTTACATTCCCACCAACAGGAAACAGGGTTGCCTTTTTTCTACACCCTCTCTAGCATTTATTGTTCATAAACTTTTTGATGATGGGCCATTCTGACCAGTGTGAGGTGATACCATGTTGTACTTTTGACTTGCAGTTTTCTAAATGATTAATGATGTTGAGCATCTTTCCATGTGCCTCTTGGCCATCTGTATGTCCTTGTAGAAATGTTTATTTAGATCTTCTGCCCATTTTTTGATTGGGTTGTTTGTTGTTTTGTTATTGAGCTGCATGAGCTATTTGTATATTTTGGAAATAAATCCTTTGTTTGCTTTGTCTTCAAATATCTTCTCCTATTCTGAGAGTTGTCTTTTTGGCTTGTTTATGGTTTCCTTTGTTGTGCAGAAGCTTTTAAGTTTAACTAGGTTTAAATAGTTTCATTTTTTGTTTTCACTTTCATTTCTCTAGGAGATGAGTCAAAAAAAAAATTCTGTGATTTATGTCAAAGAATGTTCTTACTATGTTTTCCTCTAAGAGTTTTATAGTGTCTTATCTTACACTTAGATCTTTAATCCATTTTGAGTTTGTTTTTGTGTATAGTGTTAGGTAGTGTTGTAATTTCATTCTCTTAGATGTAGCTATCCAGGTTTCCCAGCAACACTTACTGAAGAGACTATCCTTTTTCCCTTGTATATTCTTGCCTCCTTTGTCATAGGTTAGGTGACCATAGGTGGATTTATTTTGGGGCTTTCTATCCTGTGCCTCTGATCTCCTAGGGTAATGATATGAGATAGAGGGTGTCATATCCTATTCCAGGTATTTGTCCCTAAACACTTGAAAATTTGAAATACTTAGAATTCTGAATTTTAACTCTGTAAATTAGGTGCATAAATCTGTAAGTAAGAATATGCTTTTTCTTTTATATTCTTTAAACATAATAAACACATATGTGATGTTTTATTGAACAGTATTACTTACCCAGAATATAGACATGAGACATTTTGATTTTTCTACAATTATTAATCTCAAATGTGCCCTGCTGAATCTCTTTACACTGAGTAGCAGATCCCTTTATAACACCTTGGATAGGCATTGTAATGCTCCTGTCCCTTTTTCTTATTAATAATTAAAGAAACCCAAAGCAACTCAGCAAGATCTAGTTTAAAATTCCAAGCTCACCTCTGTGTCAGGACCAGTTTTTTACATAAAGAACCTGCAGATGAGATCTTTTATTTCTCCCCCCTACCAATTTATTTTGGGCGGGGGGGGGGGTGTCATCTGTCAGTCATCGCCCTTTCTTAATGCATATTCCTGCTTCTCTGTTCTGCAATGGCTGTTGACCTTGCCCCTTGACAGCCAGTACCTACATCTGGGTCTCTTGTGGAGCAGGAGCAAGTCCTCAGGACAGGGGGAGCTTCCCAGGGGTATATACGCAGAGCCAAGTCCTTCTCAGCGCTTCTAGTTCTTGCCCTTGGCAGTGTAGTCAGTCATTTGTTACATTTTGTTCCTCCTTTCCACCTAAACAGATGTACGAAGTAGGGACATGTCACAGATTCACTTGCTGCAGGCACCTGAGGATTCTGTGAGTGGTTCTCCAACCCCACTCACTGGACAAGTTAAAGGGCAGAGGTTGGGGAAACAGTCCTCCACCTTGAAGCCCCACGAGGAGTGAGGAAAAGTCAGAGCATCCCCCTCTGGGCTGATAACTCACAGGTGTGAGGATGGTCGTCTCTCTCTCCCCACCTCCCTGCTGTGCTTTCCCAGAAGGGGTGTGTGGAGGCAGATGATGGTAAGCTGTTGAGATGTGTCTTGCCAAGCCCTGAAGGGACCAACTTGGCCTAATCCCTGTCTGCTGTCTTCAGAGCATGTGTGTGCCCAGAGCCTCTCCATCCCTAATTGAAGTCCTCGGCAGGTGCTAGAGGAACAGATGACTCAATATACACTTGTCACCCAGTCTGTGTCCTTTCAGACCATCAAAAAGTGCTTCGTGTGTTAGACATGCTTGTTGGCTCACAGGTATATGCATCCCTGATGCCAACTGCTGTTTTTCCACATCCTTCCTAAATTATAGGATGAGGTTTTGCTTTTTTAAAAAAGTAAACTTAAAAGATGTACCTTTAAAATAATTCTTTCTATTTTCACAGTATCACTTCAGTGTTTTAGAGTGTTACTTTTCATATCACTGTGATTAGACAAGTCTTCTTGTCTGCTTCATTCACAGCATTTTAATTGTAAGTTCTAAACCCCTGAACCTCAGGTGCATTTCTCAGTGCTAGTAACACTCTTTAATGTAGGACTAGTAATGCTGGGCATTAAAAAGATCTTAAATTTTAATGTAGCTGAATATTAAAGTCACAGCAGAGGGAGTCTCCAGAATGGCTCACAGCCATGCTAATGAGTACCAGCCGTGGTGCCATCTATACCGTATCAACAAAAGGAGGTAGGATATTTCTGCTTACTAGCTGAACGGGTCTGTCTGACTATGTAGCTCTAGGGTAAATGCAGTTTACAGTTCTCCTGACCTGCCAGCTTTGAAACAATTCCATTTTTGAAACATTTTGAAATTTGAGGCACACTATTTCAAATTTGCTCAAAATTTGAGATCTTTTTGTTCCACGAATTAAACCTTAAGCAATTCAATTTCACATCAAATGTTGTCACACTTTTAGGAAAGGGTCCTTATTAGGGAAAAGGTTTAGCTGCCTCTGAGGTGCAGGTACCACCAGGGAGTGACTTGTTGGGGCAGAGGATTGAAAAAGTGCTAAGGAGGAGTTGAGTCATCTTGAGCCACAGTCAGCTTCTTTCCCTGCAGTGTTTCTGCGAAGTCAAGGTGTGATCTCAACTTTTGGTCACTTACGTGGAAGAGTTAATGCTTATGGCTGTTATGCCAAAGGGCCAAGCCTTCCTGCACTCTCTTTCATTATCACAATCAGTTTCAGGCCACCAGACACAGCTTTTCTGTCTCTGCCTTTTGTGCTAACATCCTGAATGTGCTCCCTGTCATGTGACAGAGATAACATGGCAACTACAGCTTATGGGATAACAATGCAGTGGCCCTTTGTGGGCAGATGACTCATGTTGACATCTTGTGAATGACTTGAATTCTTCAGGTTCCCCTCCTCCACCCACTACACTCAGTTTAAGAGTGCTGGTCCAAGTGAGGGTTTCTGCAGTTGATGTGGAACCTGATCAACCTGAACACATAAGATAGCGGAGGGTTGATATTACTACATCCTGCATTCTATAAGCAGACATGCCCAGTTTAAGGTACTTCAGTTGGAATGTCAGAGTGATGACGTCGGCTCATCTAAAATGCCTTCAGTGGCTTTTTAGCTCTCAGTAAGTTTGGTTAAGGTCAAGTTTTAAAGATTTTTCTCCTAGAATTCATCCTGATCTCCCAGTCTCATAGATTATCTCAAGGACTGAGGATAGGGCTG